ATGTTGCAACTTATCATTTTTGATGCTTAACTTGAAATGTTTTATATTTCAAAGAAAGTAATTGCAAGTATTTTTTTCCTAAATCTTAAAGCACACAACTCAGTTTTCCAGAAAGCTTTATATTTATGTTAAAATAAGGTATCAAGCATGTCTAATGTGTTAATGGCAAATACTCTTCGTGAATAATTTTGATTTAATTCTATTTTGATAAAACATTTAAGAAGTAACACAATTTCAAAAAAATAATTATTTCAATTCTGAGCCGTATTAAGAAAAAATTATCATAAATAACGCTAGATGGTTTAATTCACAAGGTCTCTTTAAACGAAAGTATTTCAATGAACTTTCTTTTTAATGTTATGGTTTTCCTTCAATATCTAATGTTTCAAATTAAGAGTTTGTTTTGGAAAAAAAGTTCATCTTTGACGATTTATTTTATAAAACCTTGATAAATTGAAATATCAATAAGGCAAACGTGATGTTTATTCTTTAATAAATAAAATAAATGAGTACGAATTGCTACATGCAAAAACACGCCCAACTCAGAGCCTTTCAACAAGAGTGTATTACCAATGCTTACAGTTATGAGTAAGATAAAGTCTGGTATGGTTACTTTGTCTTAATTTTGATCAAATATGCCAAACCTATCTGGCAGACGCTATATTTCTTCCATGTGATAACATTTTTTTTTATTTTAAAAGTTTGTTTGATTTCTTTTTAATTTAAACATAGGCCATGTATCGATACCGTCATTAGTTGGAAGACTTAATTCTTTGTATGACCACCATTTCTTTTGCACATTTTATGAACATCGATTCAAGAAAAAAATCGTTTACATAATTTTTTAATTTATATGCAAAACTGGCACAACTGTAACACTTAAATACCGGTTTGAAATGATATTAGCTAATTTGTTGTTCTGAAATGAAAACTAAATATTAAATGCCATTGTGTTTGAGTTGAAAATGAATTTTGATACGAGAGTGATTTCAACTGAGTACTTATGTGTCCCGTCAAAATAATTTACGAAACAAAATTGAAGAAATCCAGCAATGTCACGTAAAGATCAAGGTTAAGGTATTTGCAATACAAGTTCATAATAAAGAATGAACAATCGCATCCGCATGTCATAATCTTTATTATGATCTAGAATGGAATAACTCTTGATTATCCTTAGAAAATAAAGTTACAGATCATTAAACTCTGTTGGACAGAGTATGTAAGTTGCAAAGAGACATAACCTTTTATCTCATCAACAACTTGGTCTGTTAAATAAAACGCAATAGCAATGGCACTTGCACAGTATTCCTTTATATTAATAAAATCGTTTCTTTCCCTCATTTCCCTCAATAATGTATTCATAATTATTTTGAACTGTGTATATGCTTTATATTGACGGGCGTCCGTCCCTTAATGGTTGTGATCGTTGACTTCAAACATCATCCCCGAATTGCCTTTGGTTCAAATCTAGCGTTTGAACCAGCAGAAATGAAATTATAGATTGCTTCGATATCTTGTGCATTTTTCATTAAAGTAGTTTTCATTAAAATAAACTTCATTATGCACATTAACAAGAATTAACGTTATCAAAAAATATACTTAATTACCAATAATGAATTTTTAAGCAAATCTAAAATTAGTATTTTATATTTGTGTCAGTTTTGAGTGATAAATTATATCTTTTATATAGTTGATTAATTGAATTATTGCATAATATAATATAATTCAATTAATATATAAATGCAATTTCTGCATGTAAGTCATAAATGAATATTATGGATTTTTGTTTCACCTAAACAAAGTTTTACACTACGTTACAATGCATATTTACTTCCTGATTTCAAAGTAACATTGGTTATAATATAGTTTCTCAAAAGTTCATATACAATATGATAAACAAGATCAACAAGTAAAGTCAGCGTTTAATGAACGCAACCCCATCACGACCCAGCGGCAAGGAGCTCAAGAAACAAAACAGGGCGCAAGCCAGCGCACGGACAGGCCAATCTCCAAAATGACAAATCATAACAGGAATCAAAATCAAAGACAACATACAAATGGTCAACCAATAGGCCAACCAAACAAAATGACACAGGGCAAGGGGAAAGGAGAACTGGTGAAGGGGGTCAATATTTTAGAAATAAAACTAGGGGCAAAAAGGAATAGCCCTGAGATATTTTACGTAACGTGAAAGAAACAAGGATAAGCTAAGATAAAGGGTAAACAGACATACATTAGGTCCTAATCAGAACATTGATGTTAGAGGATATCTAGACAAAGAGATAGAATATAACCCAACATGTGCTATTTCACATCAATCAGAGTTATCTTCACTTCAAGACTTTATTGATGTAACTCTTACAATTACAAACTATAGATACAAACAGAATGGAGAATTCTTGGTGAATTTATAAACTTTGACAACTGACATTATGCACATAAACCCGACATCTATTATTTGTGAAATTCAACCGGTAAAAATTGATGAAAAAGAACGGACCGAGCATGAACCTGACTTAAAAAGATATTCAATGATATTAGAATAATCATTAACTCAACAACAAGATGAAAAGTTAAAGTTTTTTTGGAAAAAACGTAAAGCCATTTCTTCAAAGAATGATGCTGACATGATTGTGTGACAAAGTGAACCACAGAATATTTCTGATCTTAATTTCTGATTTTAAGGGGATGTTATTTACAAACTTCGTAAGATCTTGGGTCATTGTTATTTTTCTGTTGTCTTTTCTAAAAGTATTAAAAATTTATTAAAAGAGGTTATGACCCTATTATTTTAAGACATACAACATGCTTAGTGTTAAACTTTTTAACAGTTGGACGCTACACTTTCTATTATTGATTACATCTGACAGACCACGTAAGAGACTCTATGATGGACAGTTCTTAAAGATTGAATTGCCTTAATGTTCGTCTTCTTCCTTGCTTCGTCGGACCCTTATAGATGATTTTCTTGTTGCTTTGTCTTCCTTTTAAACATTGAGTACTTTTATTATGTTCATTGCGGTTTCGTTTCTATGCTTCTACATAATAATTTCGGTGTTTCCCTTATTCAACCTTTTTTAACGTAGCAGCTGTTAGAATCTCACTTAGCGGGGATTTCCTTTATTAACACTGTCTCTTTGGGGCTAAGAGTGAGGTTTGGTGCACCAATAACCGGTTTAAACTCCTCAGCAGTACTTATGCTGCTGACCGTTCAAGGGCGTCGTCCCTCTGTGTTCCCCAGATGTATGTCTTTGACGTTTCATACTGTTTTGGTGACAATTTTGTTTGTGTCCCTTGTTGTTTTCTCATCTACGGTAAGTATCTTTCCTTCTGCACCTAGTTTGATTATTGTTTTTTAATTAAGCCCTCCCCCTCTCATGTCTCGTTCATGTCACCTTCCCCTTTGTCCTTTTGTTCTGTGTGGGCCTATTAATCAGTCAATTTGTTTTGATATCCTTATTGGATACTTTTATCTCCTTTCATGTATTATTAAGTGATTATCCTGTCCGTGCCCTGCATTGTGTCTTGTCCAGTTTTTGTTTGGGATCGTTTTGGGCTCCTGGCTGCTGATCATTGGTCGTGTGGGGGTAGCGTTCATTGAATGCCGCCTTTCCTTGTTGATCTTATTTACCACATTTTTTAACAACTTTAGAGATTGGAGTTGGTCTTTCAAAGACTTCATGAATGCAACTTGAAATTATCTGCAGACAAGTGTTACTTCTAAAAGTTCAAGTAAAATTCTCAGGACATGTCGTCAGTGAACAGCAAGACAAAATCAACAATGTCAGAGATTGGCTTGCACCAAACACACAGATTAATTTAGATCTTTCATCTTGTTTGCTGAAACTTATAGAAGATTTTTAAATGATTTTCCAAGTTAACAAAACCTTTATCAGATTTAATACCACCAACATCAACTGGGAATAAACAGAAACATAAAGAACATCAATCACGGGTTTGGGGTAGAAGAATAATAGACTTTTGGATACATTAAAAAACAAATTGTCGAATCCACCTGTATAACCATATTTTGATTATTCAATAAATTTTGAAGTACACACAGGTGCGAGCACTTTCGGGCTCGAAGCTTTCATTAACCAGATTCAGGACCACAAGAAAAGCGTAATAAGCGTTTGCAAGTAGAACACCGACAACAACCAATTAACTTATAAACCGGAAACTTGATGCTACCGGGCAAAGCTTCAGCACTGGGAGCGTAAATTTTGATTTGATTTATAGAAGCGGTCTTTAAAATGCAGATGCTAATGGATTGTAATGGCATCCACATAAAAATGAAACTACTGGCAATGACGGACGAATCATTTTAGAAGAAAGCACCATCAAACCTATATGTTCAACACAAACACAGTCACTCATATAGATCATTTCATTCTGCTCAATAAATATTATAGATATTTCTGAATGTCATGGGAAAACTTTCGCACAGATTGAAACAAGGGAGATTAGACAAGTAAAGTAGAAAGACAAGATTCTAGGAACATGGTAAAGGTCAGCATTAGTAACCATTATATCAACATATCTATTAGAACTTGTGGCAACTGAATTGTTATTATAAGAACCAGCAAAAGGGGAAATTGAAAATGATCTTGTCATCACCGATCATTTTACAAAGTATGTAAAAACTAATCAGCAAAGACTTCAACTGAGGCCATATACATCAGCTTCATAGTCTATTATGGGATACCAACAACATAGCATTCGTATAAGGGTGCCAACTTCGGATCAGAAATCATTCAGCAATTATGTTTGTTTGTTTGTTTGTTTTGGGTTTTACGTCACATCGACACAGTATAGGTCATATCGCGACGTTCCAGCTTTACTGGTGGAGGAAGACCTCAGGTGCCCTTCCGTGCATTATTTCAGGCACGAACGGGCACCTGAGTAGAACCACCGACGTTCCGTAAGCTAGCTGGATAGCTTCCTCACATGAAAGAATCCAAAGTCCCTGTCGGGATTCGAACCCACAGCGGTGAGTAAAGTCATAGGAATCAAGATGTTTCGGACTACACCGTACCATGACATGGGAATGGATGGTTCTACTGAACATTAGAACCGAACATTGCATAGGTAGGACATTACATAGGAATCATTTACTTCCATTAGGGAATGTTTTCAACATTTCGAAAGAAGAAGTTAATGAAGAAAGGAAAAGTAATGAGAAATTGGTTCCTACGAAAGTATTAGAAAAAAATACTTCATTTCAAGATGGAGTTGATACACATTCAAAACTGGTCGATCGTACTCGGAAGAAAGAGTATAGAAAGCTAAGAAAGGATATGCAAAGAAGTGAAAGTGACCTCACTGATTCAGAAGAGGATTCAGGAGAGTATGTATCCATAGAGGGTCGCAATTAAACCTTATCCAATGGTTGGTGATACGAAAACGATAAAAGAGATGAAATTGACAAAGAAGAAGCCAGGGATAAAATAGAAAAACAGAACTGATGTTTCAGAAGAGATTGATCTAGAGTTAAAACATACAGATGAGGTTAGTACAGAAACGATGGGCAGAGATACTGATAAAGAATCTTCACCTATTGAAGCCAGGGGTAAAATAGAAAAACAGAACTGATGTTTCAGAAGAGAGTGAACCAGAGTGGACATGATCATCAAGACCAAGAAAGAACTGAAGGAATATCATCTTTACCAACAGACAGATAGCTCTGCAGAAGCAAAATGTTTCTATTGGTAAGAACTTAGTGTCTTCAGGATTGTTTTACAAACTACCACCTGATTTAGTTCATAACATTGTACAGTCTATAATGCAGTTGTAAATAATTTATGAATAATGTACATAACTTTAAATTTTATTATATTTCAATAAGTATTGATGTAAGAATATTTAATCTTTTGTTTCATTCTTTGAAACTTGATTACAATGTAAAGAGAAAATATTTTTTAAGCAGATGTTACACTAAAGTATTTTTGAACATTTTCATTGAATGCTTATTGTAAATACATTTTTCATTTATTTAATTCCTTCACACTTTTGTATATAAGTTCATTTTTGTTTATTTTTGGAATATTCTGGAGTTTCATAGTCAATCAGGTAATTCTTTTTATTAGATACTAATATTGTTGGACACAATTTTGCTAGCAGGTGAAAAGAATGAAATACTATATATATTTTTGGTCTAGTAAAATATACAGTTAATATTGTCCTTATGAGATTGTTGTGTTTTATGATAAGAATTTGAAAAGAACATTATCTGTCATTCATTTTTCTTTTGTACAGGCTAATTTTTGTATTTGATTTTTTACTTAAGCTTTAAGTAAATTAATGACCGGGCGTCATTGTACAGACAGGGAAAGTGTGTAGTAGTGTCCGAAAAACATCTTTTTGCTATATATTACTTTGTGATGTTTCGTATCTTTGCAATAATTATATTGATATTGAATAACCTTTTATGTGGAAGTTTAGCGGGAGTTTGTTAAACTTGAGCTCAAGGCGGGTAATTTGACGTGGGTTACATATTTATCGTTTAAGGTAAGTAAATGTCAATTTCTTAATACGTTACTTGTTCCTGTTTAACAGCAACAATTTTAGTATTTTGGAAGAAAAAGCTTTGTGTGATAGAAGGGTAACTGAGAGGTTTACATGCTACTTAAGTTTGGTGAGTAAACTGCGTAATTTGTAAAGATATATATGATAAAGCCATGTGAAAGTTATGTCAAACTGTATTGTATATTTATATTTTTGATAACATATTTTTTTTTTATATTTTTGATAAATGAATACCCATGAATTAGGTTTAAAGTTTGAAGGGACCATTGAGCTCAATAGATGTATTTATGTAAATGATGTAAATAATAATATATATGTAATCATTAAATACTATGATGAATTGAATTGATAATATTTTTACTGTTTATATATGTAATTTTATATATTTTCAGAACAAAAATGTAAAAGACATATCTAGAGTTATTTGAAGGAAGTCAATTGATAAATCATAATTGTATGTGTACAGAAAAACGAAAATAAAATTTATCTTTAAAATGAAGCTGACCTTTTGAAAATTTTATCCGCCCAGATCTTCCTCTATGCATTACGAAAGGACACATTGTATGTTTTATTAAACTTATTGATTAAAATATGAGACCATGGTTGTGAGTGTTATGGCACTACTATAACCGATAACATGTATTATTTTGTGCGTTAAAATTACAAGTGTGTACTATTCTTCGAGGAAACCTCGCGATAATTAAATTATTTAAAATGATCTAAACGATGTGCATGAATTCAAATACACACATATATCAATTCCTTCTGGGTAATCTAAGTCAATAGATTGTTACAACAGACATTTTGAGTTTTACACTTAAATTATACATAATCTAATGCTAATTAATATAAAATAGTCATCATTCTGACACATTTAGATAATACTGTGTGGAATCTTTGTATTTTCATCGTCTTCAATAGTTTAAATATATAAATTACCAATAGTATTTTTCTAATCTTAAAACATATTAAAAAGCCTGCTTTCATTTTGTAGGGTCATAATAGACATTTAAAGAATATGTGAATATGGCATACACTGAAACACAGACGAAACAATGTGCTTGTGAACAGATATTTAAAATTCCCTCTGGGTAGGTATGATATTTCTTTTTATTTCTCAAGTCAATAGATTGTTATAACAGACATACTGAGTTTTACGCTTAAAGTATTCATATATATCTTATACTAATGAATTTTTGAAGAAGACATCATTCTGACACTTACATTTAGATAATACTGTGAGAAAACTTTGTATGTTTCTTGTCTTCAAAAATACAACAAGTACAACGGGTGTATATAACACAAAAGTTTGAGATAATATTAATTTTTTGTCAGCCAGTGTTCAAATAGAGATAATGAGAATCACCGAAGAAAGTCCAAAACGGCAAAATTGAATATATTGCAAACCTGTTCATGGACCGGTACTGTCAAGTGCAAACTACGTCCGCGCCCCCTAGCACCGGCTTAAGCAGAAATCAACATGTGAAAATGAAAATGGTGAAATTTTGAATCTTGAAAAATCCACAGATGTGTTAATATGACGGTTATCATGGAACAATCTTAAATGTGACACGTAAATGCCATTCCATGAAAAACAATGTATGGTCCTAAGTAATAGAAAGCGTGTGCCCTTAAGGAGAAACAATGGGCGGAGCTAAAGAAAGTATAATTTTGAAAGGGGATCAAAGGTTATGAAGCTTGCACACCACAGATAAGACGCCAAAAGAAAAAGTTAAAAAGCAGGCAACATAAACCCAAGGTGATTCATCATTATTCAAGTAGGGATATTAAAACCACCAAACTAGAAAATGCCAAATAATAATAAGAATAAAAATACCGAAAACACAACAATTATGTCGTGCTTAACGATTTTTAAAGATCGAAAATATAACATCTCTGATTGAATGTACGCGGTGAACCCTCAAGGCCTCCATATGGCACAAACACCGCTTATGTGGCGATAAAATAAAGACAAATAAAATTCCAAAAGAAAGTAAAAAGGGGCAAAATTGAAAATGTTGCAGGCTCGGTTTGATTAAGCCTGTTCTTGGACGGTACTGTCCAATGTAAACTAGAGCCTCTAGCACAAGTTTAAGCATAATTTAAAGATCCTGTTACAATTTTTTTTGATGGTTTTATTCTATACACATGATGCTCAAATTAAGATTTGTCAATATTGTAAGTTCCAATAAACATTATTTATAAAGATATTACCGTAAATGAAGATTTCACGTAAATAAAGGGAGGTAATTACAAATGTATTTTCTATAAATTCTAAGTCAAATTTTCTAATAAGAAATGAATGCATATAATTTATTAATTAAATATAATGTGCACAAATATTTGCAGTACACATTTTACATATTCTTTGGTATTTGAAAATTGTTTAATGTGCATAATTATATACATATATAATTTTTTGCAAGTGTGGTATACACACAGTAACAATATCAATCACAAAACTTACAGGATCTTTAATATTTAAAAAAGGAAAATGAGGAAATTTTGAATCTAGTAATATCCGCAGATGTGTTCATACGGCGGTTACCATAGAACATTTAATGTGACACGTAAGTCATCATTTCGAATGAAATAAAGGGATTTGTAGAATTTTACATCGAAAACCTAATAAAGATGCCAATAAATAAACTTAAACATCCTTATTGTTTTGTCAATCGTTTTATTGCTTTCTTATTTGAAAAAGTTACCTGCCTGTGTGCTTAAGGTTGCTGACTTCAAAATTATGTGCCCCAAATAGCCGCCCTGTTCATATCCGTCAGGTGATAAACAAATGACGAAAGGAGCATTTGATGCTAAATATAGCAAAATGTAAAAAGACAGTATTTTGATTTCCAAAATACTAGTTAACTATAATTATACCAAGTGCAAAACAGCACAAGTAAAGAAAAGATAGCTCATCGATATAGCCAATGAGTACTTATTTTGCAACTTAAACAAGAAACCGAAAATTGAAGTTGATTCAAAAATAAAAATGATGTCATTCGTCGGCTAAGTTAATGGGGTCTTTAAAAAAAGCCTGAGTGAGTAAATATGATACCATCTGTAATAACCTAAATTCAAGCTATTACATTCCTCGGTATTATTGAAAACTGCAGTATTATAAGTAAGTAGGTAAGTAAATTGTTTATTAAGGTGGCATGTGTTATTTACAATATAAACATATACAAATATTTAATTAAAGGTATTAAACACCCGGCCACATGGGCCTATTAATCACTGTCAAATTTGATTTAGTATCTATATATAGTTCTTATTAAACACAAAAGTAGTGCAAGTTCAATTTCAAATACATGGACGATGTATGTAAAATAGTATATTTCATTTTTTATTTGTTCTTGCTCACAAAATGTAAATTTCCTTTGGTTAATGTGTTCACCGATAACACGTCCTGTTTCGACTATTATGGGTAGAATCCCGTACCGTAACTGTGCCAGCAATAAGCGTTCATGCTTCTCAAAATTGAACAATATATATTGTTCGGTTTAAAAATTTGTTTTAAATGGTTAATTTGTTAAGTTTTCGGTTACTTTGTACAGATGTTTGCCATTGTTTGGTAAACATACTAGTTTTATTTGCTACTTTTGCATTAGCCGGTCTCCTTTCTGTGAAATAGGAACTGAGACCCAATGATATCATTATTTGTTCTATATCGTTAGACCATTGTTTTTGGAACATAACATAGTCTGCAGTTAAAACTATTTAGGTAGTCTTTGTTGTCCTTTGATTTATACAAAATAGCGTAGCATATATATCCACCTTCTGAACTTGCTTGTCAACAACCTTATATCCCCTGTAATTGCTGCCACGGGCGCTAATCGATGTAGTCCTAAAAGTATCGTACAGCTCCATTTTGCACACTGTCTATTGTTTGATAATAACTTTATCCCAACACATTTGAACAATAATCTAGCACTGGTACGACAAAATTGTAGAACATTTTTTAAAGGATTTAAATCCAATTTCTTTCAAATGCATTATGTTAATTAAAACTCCCTTAAGCCCTGCCTGCATTTTTTCAGTGTTTTATAGTGTATGATATAATCTGTATTTTCTCCTCAGATAATGCCTAGGTATTTATATTTACTAACTGTTTTCAAGGTTTATGAAATAGTAAGATATTTGTTTCTCCGACAGAAACATCAAGGTCATAGCAATTATGTCTGCTACTTGATCGTTTATTAAAACAGCAAAATGTGTCTGCGACAACGAATTTCCCTGGACCACGCATTTTTTACAGTCGATCCACTGAATCATTATATTGTTGATACGTACACATGATACTGTTTGATCGTAGTATGATTTTATTGCTGTGTAAATTTTCCAGGCAATGCCCGACCGCTAGAGTTCATTTTCTATTTGTTTTTTGGTCACAAAATGTACATATTCTCTTGTTTATGTGTTCACTAATAAAACGACATGTTTCGACTCTTATTGGTAAAATCTCCCAATTTGTGTCTCATAATACACAGTCAATGGACATTAAATATAAACTGGCTTTATGTATATTTAAACATGGATTTGGAAAGTTAATTTGACATTAAAAAGAAATGTCTACCATTCATTTTAAACTACGAAAACATTATCAGTATAAGTAATTATGGAATGAAAGTGTTTCAAGGTCTATATGATCGATAATCAAAAGAAATGTTTATATTAATTAATATGTTTAACTCATACCCATAAATCTTTGTAAAGTATTAACATTTGCAAGAAAATTGAATCATAGACTACTTAAAGAAACAAAAAAGATGGAGTTATGGCCTATTGCGTGACAGGAAAATGATCATTCTGAAAAGCATAGACCCCTTTTTACAGGTTGAACCAAATATAGATATGGCATTCGTAAATAGGTAGATAATTAAGTTATTATGATGAATATAGCATCCCATATTTTGTTTATTTGTTTGAAAAAAAATATGATCATGACATGTTTTCTTAGCCAAAAAATGAATGGTTGATATTATTGATAAGCAATCAAAATCTTGAGCAAACAATTATGTACATGTTTGTTCCTTTGCTATTGTTTAAATATATTTCTTGGAATATATCGTTTATTTATAACTAAATTATATTTCATATGTTTACCTACAATTACAATGACGAAATAATTCGTTTGTCTAAAATTATATGTAAGATTATACTTCGATATTTTTTAAATAAAAAATAGTTTATTCAAACCCCCCTTTACATAAATCGAATGTATGCTAACAACTGTCAATAAACCATATAATCATTAATCTAGTTAACTTAAAAAGTATCTACATGTATGTAATGTTCTTAATAATCAAAGTTATCACCTTGTTCTTAGAACGTTGTATTCTTTATATCCGGTGTTATTGATATATGATACATGATATGTAATCTGGAAACAAAATAGTATACATACTTATAATATGTAGAAAACAATATAAAGATTTGAATGAATTATTATCAAAAAGTGATACTGTGTTTAAGGTTGACCATTGGTAATGCATTACTTCCACTTTGAAGAGTATTCAAAAAGGCTAGAATCACTTGTCAATTACATTGAAATTGAGGGGCGTCAGTTCAAACCCCAAAAGGGGCAACTTTGTTTTTCTTTGGATTTTATTTTCTTTTTAACATTATTTATGTATCTCTCAGATCGATCTCTTATGGAAGAAGAAAAATAGTTGATTTTTATTATATAGTTAGTGTAGGTATTTATTTGCTAAAAATGCAAATATGATACCAAATATTTTCCAAGCTTTATAAAATAAAAACTACACAGTAAAAGTATTTTATATTCCGCATAATCTACCAATATATCTTAAAGAAACTTTAGGCAGCCCTTCATTATAGTAAATTGAAGGGATATTTTGAAGAAGACTTTTTATATAGGGAACTGGTCAGACAAGTGTTTAAAATGGGTGGGGTAGGGTAACATTTTTATACATTTTGTTTAGAAACAATCATTTTGCTCGTGTAATTTTGTTATCTGAATGATATTATTTGTTTCTTAACAATGAGCAATAGGAAAAATATTTTTATGATTATGATTTTATAGATTATTTAGAATTTCCTCATTTAAAAAAGTCCTTCTAATAGCAAAGCTTTAGATCAGAAATATATCCATAACTCATAAACCACATGGTAGATTTTATTTAAATTTTGCATACAAATGACTTTTTAGCTGTCCTATGTTGTCAATGTTGCAGTTCCATTTCCAGTTTAGTGCCCATTACCCATGGTCTACCTTAAGACATTATATCGGTCTTACCGTTGTAAATCGGCTATCTAACATCGGTTTGGAGTTTTGATGTATAGGAACTGACACAACGAAGGCTGTAGGCATAATTGGTTAATTCTTTTGAATCGCATCGACTCAACCGGTGTTAAATAAACGATAAACACCGCACAGACCGATCTTTTTTCTATTCTACCAAGATAAAATAAGGAAGAACACTAATGTTATATTTTCAAGCGGAGATTACTTCCGTTGCCGATTATCGTATAATGCTGCTCGATTTGCCACCCTACTGTTAAAAAATAACGCCTCATACTGGATTGTATTGTATTAACATCATTGCCCAATTAATAATTATTGTATGTTTGAAATGACGTCCTTCTAGTGCTATAAATTAGTTGTATATTTAAGGATGACGTCATTATGCTGCTTACGGATGGGCGCCGATTTTTCAAAATATGTATTATCTGATATGGATTTAATATGTGGCGTTAGTGTATGCAAGATATTATTTCAGTATTGTTTAAAAAAAGCATTTTATAGAACTGAAAAATATCAATAAAAGTACATTTTTATTGTTGCTTTAAAAGGCTTTGTCAACTATATAATCGAGGGAGAAAACATAACAACCGCATATACAAGTAGTTCCTAACCAGTGTTGGCAGTTTAACATTGCTTTTTTATGCTTTGTCTATAGTGACAAAATCACGAGGAGTGTTAGAATTGTATGTTTGATATTGGTAATTAGTTTTGTTTGTACTTGTTCTTTCGATTCCAAAGTTTGTTTTCAAGTACAATTCAAGTACAAGTCTATTTTATTTAAGATGAATGAAACAAAAAAAAGGTAATAATAGCTGGTATTAATTAAATATATCGTTGCAAATTTGTTTGCGAAAATTAAAGGCTGTCTGTTGGGCTGTTAGCATATCTGTCTTTTTTCTTATAGATCGTTGAAAAAAAAAATTGCGATAGTTAAGGGCTATCTGTTAGCCTATCTGTCTATTTTCTTATTGATGCTTTGTATTTTTGTTTTTAATTTCGTGAGGTTCTATGAAGTTGTTTTCCATAAGTAATAAAGTATCCAAGAAGAGATAAATCAATACATGATTAAATAAACAAATAATTATCTCAACTTAGGTAAAAAAGAATATCTAGAACAATAAATCATTGGATAAATGTTTGCAACTATTTATTTATTAAATATGATTATGTACATAATATTAAAGTTACTTTCCCACACAAAACGTGTCCTTAAACATGCGTAAAATTAAAAATTGCAGTCACCACGAGATAACTGACCTCGCGTTTGCGATGTTTCACCTAACACAGTCAGAAACACCCTATTATATTATCAGTTAACGTAAAGCGAGCAGGATAGCGTGATGCAGGTAGAAATAACTACATAAATTTCAATTCTTAACCGGAATACCGGGATATGCTCTTATTTATTGGTTTTTGTTATAGACATTATTTTGTATGATATATTGTGCAGCAATCTATTGCAGGATTAATAACTTACCTAGCGCAAAACCTTTCTACCATCAACTAACGGATCTTCTTGCAACAAGTTAATAGTGGTGTTTAAAGTTTAGGTCAATATTAAGTGATAAAACGTTGCAATGGTTTAAAATCACAGTATAATAAATATTGCAAAAACTTAACTAATGTTTTTCGCCGGACAAGACATGTTTTATTCATCAAGTTTTATATAAATGTACGAGAATGAGGTAAAATTTTATCTTTTGATGACATCATATTTCAAAACGCGCAAACTATAATGTTATGGATAGTGGCTTTAAAGTTAATCATGTCAAATAAGTAGTAACTCTTATTCATTTCCATTTTACGATCAGAGCACATGCTATCAAATAAATAGTAGTGTGATTAGAATTTTTATAACAGTCAAACATTAACAAAACAAATCCAAAGTTGACCATTTGTTAGTTTATAGATATATTACAGATTTTTTGCTATAGTGTGATGAACAACTTCTTTTTTAAAGCATTTATAATTTGTTTTCCTTTCAGACTATCAAGAAGAGAGCTATGCATTTTGTTTTCTGTTGTGTTTGGTATCGTTATACCTTTTATGCTGTATAAGTATACAATTTGTACGGAAATAAAAACATCAAAAACATCACTTCAAACAGAATTATCTAATAGTATGTAAGTTACCGATTAAGCTGTAGTCAAATAAGGATAAATAATAAACGTAACACAAGTCTTTATAAAATACTGAATTATAAGTAATTGTACTAGTATTTGATTCGTTAAATATCTGGACCTGTAATTGGACGTAATAAAATGCCACCTTAAGTATAATAAGCCTATTAAGAATGCAATTTAATGTGTATCTATATAAAAATATAATTTTGGAAAACAAAAGTGCAAAGGCAAAAGTAGGTTGCTTCTTCTGGAAAAAATAAAGATATTTTTTATCGATTTCAACTCAACACTGGTATAGTATTAGACAGATTGGCAATTAGACAAAAAAATATAATAATAACACAAATTAAAATATAAAAACCTATTTGTAAGCTTCTCCTTGTTCAAATTCCCATTTTACATATATTTGTTAAATATATGAAATTGTTTGTGTTTAGCTGAAAACTATTTGTATATACTCTCAACACTTTCTTTACCTTTTTGTTTTTCTTTGACTCCCGCAATATGTAAAATGGGTGAAAAGTGGAGGTCTGTCATTTAGTTAACGTCAACAAGTAAGAATTAGACAATGACAGAATAGCTTGAATATTAGAGTTACAAACAAAGCAAGTGTTAGGCCATGATTATTTCACTTGAACATAATTAAAACTTTATAATTCTTATTTTGATTACATTTATTTCAAATAAAAAAGCTTTTGTTTATTTTTTAGGTTTAAATTATACAATTCTTACAAAATTAGACTGTTTCACTACCAGACAACTGTAAGATGTAATGATACTTTATTAGCTGCTGACCCGTTTCGCTCTGCTGTATATACACAAGGTCAGTTATTTAATTCGATAACAACTCTAAAGTAATAAGTAGTAAGTGGAATATCACCAACACATGTTTTAAAGAACTTTCTTTTTCTTATGATCAGTCGATTTTGTGTTTTTAAGCGCATATTTTTTTTAAATTTCTCTTTCTTATACAATGCTCACATAGGTTCATATATTAGCATGTCTATACAATAATAAAATTCAAAGTATATCATGAATTGCTTGAACACATATTACACAAAGTAATATAATTATAAGGCAATGCACATTTTTACGAATTAATTTTAAGAACGGAAGTTTATCTCGTCACAAACGTTTGGACCTTTTAAAAATTTATTGAGAATTAGGACTTAGTGTCCTAATGCATCGGAAGATCTCAACTATAGTATCATTTTGGCATAACAATTAAAGAATTTTCTAAGTACATTCATCCTTCGATTTTATTCGAATTAAAAGTGCCCAAAAACTTAAACGATTGGTTCTAGTTTCTATTTCGAAAAAAAGTAAAATGTTGAATTATTGATAATATTGATAAGTATTTATATGTTAACTCAGATACTTATTGCATTTGGAAATTTTGTTCAGCTATGATACAGCTTTATAGTTATTATTTACCTTAAATAACTTTATTAAAAACATTTATGTATTGTACAAAAGACAAACGTAAATGTGCAAGTATTGAGCCATCACTTCTAAAGAAAATTCATTTAAGTCTATTATAAGGTTCAGATACCATCTACCCTGGAGATTACATTCGCTTTTATGTTGTCCTGTATAACGGATATGGAAAACCAATGATCACTGGAGGAGATCATTTACGGGCACGTTTATTTAACGAATCCCTGAAAGCATATATACCTGGCATTATTTTGGACCACGAAAATGGAACATACACTGTAACTTTTCAAGTATTTTGGATCGGAAAGGCTAAACTGGAAGTAGAAGTATTATATACAAAAGAAATTATAGCTACTGTCATTCGTTTAAAGAGATTTTGGGTAAGAATATAAGAAAGGTTTTAATTCAAATAAGGTTCAAACAGAAGCATTTGAAACCTAAATATCATCATATGTGCCATTCTAAGAAATTCCCAAAAATGAGCAAATTATGTTCGAGATTGATCAAAAAGTTATTGGCCCGATGTACTTCAGATGTATAGTCAGACAATCCAAATAATGGTATTTCTTTTCAATATAATCGCCTTCTACATCAATGCACTTTGCCCGCCTGTTCTCCAACTTGTTTAACACTTTAAACTAGAATTCTTTAGTTTGGTCCTCAAAGAACTCACTCATACACATTCTTTTCCTCCAAAACGTCTACCACAAAGCTTGGTATACAGTTTCGGGTAGAAGTCAGAAGGGCCAAGTCATTGGGATGGAGAAGATTTGCAAAGCCACATTCAGTTGCAGCAGCCATCGCAACTTGGGATGTGTGAGCTGGCGAATTGTCGTGCAGAAGCAGAACGCCTTGAGTCAGTTTGCCCCTCTTTTCACGCGCGATTTATTGATGCAGACGTCTCAATTCGTTTGCATAGTACAAACCGTTTATGGCTCGACCTTGCTTAGTCAGTTATGATTATCTCCTGACTATCCCATAAAAATGAAGTTATCAACTTCCCTGCTTCCCTGCTGATGGCACCCTCTTGAATTTCTTCGGAGGGGGTGAGCCAGGGTGCCCGAACTGTATGCTCTGTTTTTGGATTCTGGATCGAAGTGATGGACTAATGTTTCATCCTGAGATACGATCCGGTAGATAAAATCAGGTTCATCCTCGAGACAAAAGATATCTTGAAATGTCAAGCCTGGTCCGTTTCTGGTCGTCAGACAACTGTCTTGGGATCCATGTAGTGGAAATCTTTGACATGCAATAGACATCAGTCAGAATTGACTGAACTTAACCAAAGCTTATACCCACTTCCCTAGCAATGCTTCGCTTGTCTCGCCGTCTGTCGCACATGACCAGATCATGCACAGCTTTAACAGTTACATCGTTGGTGGTCTCTGTCTGCGCCCAGTCCGCTAATGATCTCCAATGCTCTCTCTGCCCCTCATAAATATAGCAGCCTATTTGTTTTCAGTGGTTTAGGACGGGGACTCCTTCCCAAGTGTGTCCATGGAGTCTTCATAGATTTCCTTGGGGGACATCCCTTTCTTACAGAGGTTCTTAATGATGGCTCTGATTTCAACTTTCTCCATTTGGTCTAAATGACACACCCCACTACTGATCAAAGTGTTTTTTTATGTTCCTTAATATGTGTAAGTACAGGTGGGCAAGTAGAGGGCAATTATATTGAAAAGTAAGACCATAAGTTTGGTTCGCTGACTACCAGAAGCACATTTGGTACAATGGTTTAACATGAACACTTCATCCAACATAAAGCTTAACATGAATGAGAGAGAGAGAGAGAAAGAGAGGGAGAGCGCGCGCGAGAGAGAGAGAGACTCTCTCTCTCTCACACACACGCACGCACGCACACACGCACACACACACAGACAGACAAAGACAGAGAGGCATACAGAGATAGTACTTGAGCATCGCTAAGGAAAATAATAATTAGAGACAGAAACTCTCTCATTACACGAAAAGCATGTTTAATGAATCTAGCTTGATACATCATTTCTAAAACATCTACGTATATTCCGTATCTTTATAATCGGTGTTTTAATATTGAAGGACTTCTCTGACATCTTTGCGACATTTTCGTTTATGGATCATAAAGATAAAACACGATGTGGTCCAAATTACGAAACAGTTGTAAGATCTTCTAGTACATACAAAGTTTGCAACTTCTCCTATTGGCACAAATCAATGCGATGGTTTTGTGCAAGGCCTAATGGAATACTTCTGTGTAAGCATTGGGTGTCTATATATCGTAATTGGGAAAATTTTACAAATGGAATCAACGAATGTGAAGATGAGCTGAGCAAAAGGTACTTCAAAATTGTTATCTATAATTTAGAAATATAAAAAAAACACATAGTTTTCACAAAATTATTTCACGATGACAATGTTTGAAATACTTTTAAACATAAGTTATAAGAAATTTTTAAAATACACTTGAGTCATTTACATTGACGATGATGCATTGTCTGTAATTTGTAATATGATGTGTCACTTTGTTTTAAAAATGGCACTATGTCTGCACTATCATCTTCGGAGCAGATTGATGCTTAAAAACACACCAATTAGAATTATCTGAATCAGTTTTGTATATATGTATTATACAATTACACGGCATTTCGCAGATATGAAATCTGAATCAAATTTCAATCACAGATTACATACTCTTTATATAACATTTGTATAATATGTATTTTTATATTGTTTTGTTTAACTATTCGAACAATTTAATGGTAAATATCATTGTTTTTGGGTCATTCTTTGTCAATTTTCTCGAGATAATCTTAGTAACAAATTTAATTTTCACCCTATGGTTAATTAATTAAAGGAAATTTGGCAATAACAGGGAGAATCTAGAAATACCCGGACTTTGTTTATTATTTTTAAGATAACCATGTTGTTTTCCTTAGATTTTAATCTATGTTTAAGTCACAAGTTCATCTCCTTATTCGAAATAGTCATTTTCTTCCATTGTTTGTTTGTATGCCTTAACAAAACATGGTTATATTAGAATAAATATTAATAGCCTACCTTAAGTGGAAATTTCAAAGGCATCAAAGGGCATATTAACAATCTATATTTTTTTCAAAACGTCAGAACATAACTTGGAACGAAAATAACGTCATACTAACATTTCACATCATTCTTGTATATTTAAATTTCAAAGTTTGTTTGTTTGGATTCGATTTTTACGGCACGTCAACACATAACTGGCCATATCGTGCCGAATGCTATAATATACTTAAAATGTTTCGTTAAACTTTGTAAATGCCAATGAAAATTAGCCAATTAGATCCTAGAATACAAGTTTATCTCTTTCAAATAATCAATGATGTTTTTTGGTGGAATTGTATTAAAGGGTTCTTTGAGTGAATTTACACAATAAAATCTAGTAAGGCCTGTGAAAAATCATTACCTTCAAAAAGAAAATGCTTGACAGTAAAATTTTCATTACAAGCTACACAGAAAGGGGCATTGTCATTCGTGAGGAGATAAGAGTGGGTAATTTTAGTGTGTCCCGTTCGGCATCGAAGAAAAACTGTTTGATCATGGCGGTTTGACAGAGATGGAGATGGTGACACATCAAGAGATGGGTTAGATCGTGAAGTTTATTAAAAACGGCTTTGTCCCAATTTGCTTTCCATTCAGATGATACGAGTTTATTTATAGCCGGTCTAAAATCATAAGCAGGTAACAATAAGTCAGTTTCTTGAAAATCTAATGATTGTTTAGCTAAAACATCTACTCTTTCATTTCCTCGTATACCTACATGACTTGGAATTCAATATAATTTAAGAGATTTTGTTTTAAGTATATCATGAAATCATAAAATAAGTTTCCATATCATGATATTGTCAGATGTTTTATTTTTAATGGATATTAAAACAGAAAGCGAGTCAGAAAATATCACAAATTTATCATGGGTATGCTGTACTATGTATGACAATGCTAAATCTATAGCTTTTGCTTCAGCATTAAAAAATGATGCATTATCTGGTAACCTCATACTAGATGTAAAATTATTTTCAAACACATCCGCGCCTACTTTGCAACCTTCTTTTGAACTGTCCGTATAAATATGTATAAAATCTTCATGTTCTTCCTTAATTGCTAGAAACTTCTCTTTGAAATGTTCAGGTGAATTTGATGACTTTTTTATATTTGAAAGGTTAATATTTATTTCGGGGAATTATAAGTCCAAGGTGGAATATCCTCATCGTCGTTTTGAGGGATACTGTCTGGATTAATTTTAAGTTTATCTAAATCATCTTTTAAACGAAGGCCTAATTGTTTAATTCCCTTTGGTGTGTTAACACATTTTTCAGTATAACTTGGTTTTAAAATAATATTTTTAGCTGGATTTTTGCTATTAGATGAAATTCTAGTTGCATATTGAAGTAATAGCCTTTTTCGACGAAGATGAAGCGATGGTTCCCCAGCTTCCGCATATAGACTTTCTACAGGTTATGTGCGAAAAGCACCTAAAGCTAAACGTAAACCCTGGTGATGTATGGTATCTAGCATTTGAAGATATGATTTTCTTGCAGACCCATATACTACAGAACCATAATCTAATATTGATCGAATAAGACTTCTGTATAATTTCAGTAATGTGGAAGAATTTGATCCCCAATTTGTACTTGATAAAACCTTTAGTAAATTTAAAGCTTTTAGGCATTTAGTTTTCAAATGTTTAATATGTGGTATAAAAGAAATTTTTTTATCAAATATAATTCCTAAAAACTTATGTAAAGTTCAGGGTCATTATGGTGCTTCCGCAATCGACAAAACTGAACACATTGAGTTTCTGACTTGACCTTGTTCTTGATGGTGGTCCTCAGAAAAAGTTGAACCAAGTCTTACTTAAAAGTGCCTGTCGTTTAGAAATCTAGAAATGAAAAGAGGAAGACTGCCTTTAAGTCCAGCATCCTTTAGATGTTTGAGGATACCATATTTCCAAGTAGTATCGTAAGCCTTCTCAAGATCAAAGAAAATTGATACCAGGTGTTCTTTATTTACAAAAGCTTCTCTAATAAAAGTTTCAAGTCGAACAAGATGATCATTTGTACTTTGCTGTTTACGAAATCCTGACTGAAACTTAGTGATAATTCCATTATTTTCTAGATACCAAACTAACCGATTATTTATCATTCTCTCGAATGTTTCGCAGAGGCAGATTGTTAGTGAAATTGGACGATAGTTTGTAGGGTCAGTTGAATCTTTTCAGGGTTTAACGATAGGAATTACCAACGCATTTTTCCAAGTGTTGGGAAATTTACCAGATACCCAAATTTTGTTAAAAAATTCAAGAAGCAAATCAAGTGATTGGGGTGGTAAATGTTTAAGAAACTGGTAGTTAATTTCGTCCGGGCCTGCAGCACTATCTTTTGCAGTTTTGATTGAATAAATTAAGTCATCAATAGAGAAAATGGAATTATAGTCTTCATCGTTTGTTGAAGTAAAATTAATATGCTCTTTCTCAGCTTTACATTTATGTTGTTGAAATTCATTTGAATAATTGTTTGAAGAAGAGTTCTTTTTATAGGCTTGAAGTAGCAACGATTATTTTTTTCGCAACATCGCCATCAAAGCATCCGAAATACGATTGTGTATTTGATGTTCATGATCAGTTTGGAAAGATTCATTCAGAAACAATCACTATGTTTAAAGGAACACTTCACAAGCCCCTACATTGCCAATCATTAGCTTTAGAGTTGCAATGGAGCTTTAAGAATTTTGAAACAGTTTTAAACCTGACAAGGTTGTTTGTGCAAAATGATATGCATATTGCATAAGACACCAATGCAAACCTTAACCCTGAGGTGCTTGAATAAAGACAAATGTGCTACAGTGTGCGGTCATACTAAAATCTTGTTGATATTAATAATCATATAATCATCATCAGATCATGAAAAGTAGCTACTATACTTTATTAGACTGTACTTTTATAATTTTTAAAAACCCTAACAAATGCATTGCATGAAACATGTTTAAATTATAGATTTTGATTGAAACAAAACATGTTTTGTGTAGTTTTTTTGTCTTTTTCTTTTTGCTTTTTATTAACTTTATAAAACTCATGAAATTAGAAGTATATGTTTTTCTTCTTCAAAAATAGGCAAAGTTAGCTACGATAAATGCAAACTACTACAGTTAAATAGGATTGACTCATTATTGCATCATGAACTGTTTGAAATAAAATAGATGACATAAAAATAATGTTGAAATAATTTACGTTGTGTACGATTTTAAGGATTTCTTAATAATCAAACGATAGTTCAAGAACTGTGTAACTTTTTATTAATGCCTTACGGCTTTTGACACCAGCTGTTGTGAAGTGATCTTTCAACAAAAGCATATAAAAGCATATTCAGTTTGATTGAGTTTGTTCATGAGGGTTAAATGAAAAAAAAGGGCAACATACATCATGTCTAGTTGTCTACTGGCTACGGTTTTAGCGACATTGAAACTTCAACATTTAAATATTGGAATCAATGACAATTAACGGATTCAAAAATATACAAAAAAAACAACAACACAGAAGTGATGAACATGGCAACTTGTTAAAGCTGTCACGCGACACGTAAAATTTGCAGTAAAACGCATGATCCCTATGAAGCAACGAAAACAACAAAATAACATAAATTAGAAGACTCGGTTTGATTAAGTCTGTTAAAAGGGCAGTCAGGTTTAAATTACTGGCACACTTTAGGATAGCGACATTCGTGTTTTTCAAGATTTTACAATAAAATGATTTCTAATGAAATAAGAAATAATTGAACAATTATTTCATATGCATCAACCTTGTGCAAATACATTGGAAAGCCATGAATCATTTTAATGTCCATTCTAATGACATATGGGCTCTATGCTGCATGTGCATTACTATTTTGCTCAAATAGGTATGCGCTGGTCAATATTTGATTAATTCCTACAAATTTGTTTTCTGATAAAGAGGATATATAACTCAATATAGAGTTTTATTTTGGAAATGTATTATTATTGTAATTGAATATGTGGCCTAATTCCGGGTATTTCTGGATCATTCTTCGAGGGTTGTACATAATTATCAAGTATAAGCTTTTAATGCGGTTCATAATAATACATTGAGTAATGATGAAGTGATCTTATTTTCCCAACCATAATACGTATATACCGGTAGTTAACATATATGCCTATCCCATCTTTACTCAAAACGATTTTATCTGATGATATATTTTTCACCATTCAACAATTTCAAGAGACCAAACAACAATACCTTCAAACATCACTATACAAATATTGCCACACACGACCAAAGGTAAACGCAAAATCATGCTTGGAGAACATTACAAACCATGTGTAAGATACAATACTTCAGAGTTATGGTTCAAAGATAACCCTACAGGATATTTCTATCATGATTAGTGGATTCTTGTGCATTGTAAAGGTATAGTTATTTGATATATGAGGGATATTGGTACATGTTAAATATGTTAACAACCAAATTTAGATATGAGTCTTTTATGTTACCTTATGTACAGTGTATGTTTTTGTGTTGGCATGATGCTACATTGATGTTCTATCAAAATGTATTTGATAACGCTAATGATCTAACGCAAGAAGACATTGTCACAAGTAATTGATTATTTATAATGTAACATGTACATTGAACAGGTATTCGGCGATTTGATGAAGAGTGTTTGAGGAATAAAACTCTCATATTGTGGGGTGACTCTACTCTCTATCAGTGGTATCGCTATCTAAAATCAAAACTAGAAGTTATCAGCACATTTACATGTAACGTTCCAATTGATGGAGCCCACATATGGTATCAAACAAACACGTGCTATTATCACAAATACAATATAACATTATATTTTACGGGACATAATATTCCAGTAACACCTGTTGATATGGATAATCTTTATGAGTTTTACACAACTAACATATTCGATAAAATTATACGACTTATATTAGGAAAAGAATTACTGCTGGTGATACATTTATTTGCTCACTTTCAAACTTATAATTTTGATTTTTATGCTACACACATTTCAAACATAAAAAACAGTTTAAAACGGTTGTTTGAATTAGACTTCAGAATTAAAGTGTTTATTAAATTACCACATACTTACCGCCGATTAAAACAGTACAAGTGGATGTTACACCAAAATGATTTTGTCGGTTTTATTTATACAGATATTATACGTATACTATTTGAAAGATTATATGAAAAAGTTATTGTATTAGATCAAAAGGACGCGACTATTTCAAAACGGAGTTTTGATTTGCATCCGTCGATAGTTATTGTCGAGGAAATGGTACTAGAGTTATTAAGTTATATTTGCAAGAGTGATGGATGACAATTGTGTGATGGTAACAAAGTGGCAAAAGGAAAATGATATTAACATATGTCACATATCAGTATATTGCAAAGTATTTAATTGAACTATCTATAAGGTTCATTCTGTCTGTCTGCTTGTGTTTGTTCAACTTTATTCTATATTTGCTACAAATATTTAAAGGGTGAGTCAATATGCTTAAAAGATTATAAATATACTTTATTATGAAACAAATTGTTCACGATTTTCCATTTCAACTCTTCCTTATAATCTCCTCATTCAGAAAAACAAAGGTGAGGAAGGTTAATCCAATTTTAAAATGATTCAGCATAGTTTCACTAGTTGGCAGGCGGGCTTTCTGCTCAATAACTTGAGTTTGCCTTGGCCTATTGATGCCAAACTTTGTATAAAACACACTACGCAATGTGTGGGTAGCTTATATCAAGAGGCAGCTTGGAATTGCTACCCAGTGAGGATTAATGTCAAGGTCACTTTTTTCTTCAATGCGATATTTCATTCCTTATTCGTGTCACATCAACATGGTCGTAGAAACCTGATTTCGTCGCATTGGAGCCCTTGTTCATTTATTTTAATCCTTTTTTACCATGTACAAATATAATAAAAATTCAAACAAATACTAAGGGCCAAAATCAAATGATATTTATAAAAGACATAGTTTATGAAAGCACTATCACATATAAATAGACTATCTATTTTACATGTTCATTTTCTGTCATGTAAATGTGTCTAGATTCTGTCATGTAAATGTAAATGTGGCTAGATTCTGTCATTTAAACGTGGTTAAATTCTGTCGTGTAACAATGGCTATAAATGATAGCATTTATGCATGGATAATATACTGATAGTATATACCTTGTTTGTTGTAATTTGCTTATATAGTATCTATTTTGTTATAACTTTTGTGTGACGTGAGGTATGAGTATTACGAATTAAAAGACATTAAGAAAAGTGTCTGGAATTTTTTGTTTGCTTTGTTTTTTATGATCACTTCCCAACCCAAACCTAAATTTTTTAGAGATCAGCAGTACAATGGCCTCTGATAAAACTTTAAGAGCCATGATTTATTTCAAGAACTTTTGTGAGTATGTGAATTTACGCACTTTGGCACTTTGGTAATTTGCCGCATATTAAAATTGGAGATTAGAACAGTTATGGCCAAATAATTAGCAAAAAATAATAAACAAATATTTTTTGTCACAAGAAACTCCAAGTTGCTATGTTTATACAAGTAAAAATAGGATAATCCTTAAACCTCACGAATTATTTTGATGAAATTTAATGGCACATTTGAAATCCTTTATAATTCAATCTAAAATTGTTTTGTCTGCTGGAAAAGATGAATGCCAAAATATACTACTCAAAATTTGCTAAGAATCACTTTTTCTACAGTGCGTTACTTTTGTGTATTTGTAATAGATGTGAAAATTTATTGAAAGGAGTTACATATAATTAGTAAGAAATTATTTTTTATGCAAATAATGACAATAGTCACGACAATAATGACGTGTGCCGGTTGTTGAAAGAGTGTGCTAGACGAAAATCAACATTTTGGAGATCACATAGTGGAATAAAAAAAGTCTTGCAAATCAGGAAATGGTTGGCGTAGGGTGTTTTATACAAAGTACGGTGTTCCGGGACATAAATTACGACCTGGCATCGCCGCCCATGCTGCTGATGAGCCTGCGGACCTGGTGATGAGGAATCTGGGCGCATTCCTCTATGATTGCATGTCTTTACTGAACTGTTGTTGGTTGGACGTGCCGTGAATAAATGGCTTTCTTCGGCATATCCCTAGCATGCTCAATTTGATTTAAATCCTGGGACCTCATTGGCCAATCCATGTGGACTATAGTTGTCTCCTTAAGATATCAGTTTGTGATGTGGGCTCTGTGTGCACGGGTGTTGTCATCCATAAGAATGAAATCAAGGCCGACTGCACCAGCCAGCGTACGTGCGTACATGAACGTCTTAGATTTCTTTGACATACGTTACTGCCATCATTGTACCGTTTTTAATGCTGTCGGTCCGTTTTCCCCTGAGCGCTTATTCCCTCCAACACCATGACTGAATCCCCGCCAAAACGATCGTGTTTTGCAACGCATGCTGGAGCTAAGCGTTCATTTGTACTTCTCAAAACCCTAGCCCGTCTGTCCGTGAATTCCACACAAAACCTTGACTCATCAGTGAAAAGGACCGGGGTCCAATCATAAACTGTCCATATGACATGATCATTAGTCTGCGCCCATTGCAAACTCTCTCTAATATGGCGTTGTGTAAAAGGTATACAAATTGCTGGCCTCCTTGACCTCAACCCAGCATCATGCAACCTGTTTCTAACATCATGTTGTGTGCTAACACGCACACCAGTTGCATTCTGAAAGTCGTTTCGTTTCATTGTGAAAGTCGCGCCTGACCTGAAGGACTATAAATCGGTCCTGGGCTTGAGTTGTTGAACGTTCCCGACCTTCGGCGTGGCCCTGCAAGACATTTCAAGTCATTTGGAATCGGTTCCACATCCTGGAGACAACGCTCTGGGATACACCAAGGACATGGGCAACGTGCCTTTGTGAATAGCAAGCCTCTAACATTTCAATACCCCTGTTCATCTTATCTTCACTAAGACGACGTCTAACGTGTAGATTTGTCTTAGTTCGTTAATTTCGAGCACAGTTTTACAATAAGACGAGAGAAGTCTTGCTGCGTGTACATGTTTAAGTGAAACCACATTGCCATAAAACACCAAAATTCCATGGGTATGCTTTTCCACGTGCTTATCGTGCAAGGTGTACATGACAAATCGATAACTTAAGTACACGATTATGAGGTCAGCGTAAAGGTGTATCGTTAGCGGAAATATGATTTTAATATAAAAAGACTGAAATTTGCAATGTCAAAAAGGTGATCCTTAGCAAATTTGGCATGAGTAGTAGTTAGTTCTCCTTATACTTGAATGAGCAAATTTTATTGAAACTTATGCGGAATGTTAAGCTTGCCAGATTTATGATGGCTAATGATTGTTGTTATTTGTACCCTACCGACTTTAAATAAGTTTGTAATGTATTATAGATTTAAGAAATTTGTAATGTATTATTGGCCCTTTAGTCTATTCAATTTACGTTGATTGTATAGGAGGCTATAACGTTATAGACATACCTCCGAATACGTTACTATATAACCAAAAAGTACTAAGCAATGGCTCAATAAAACAAGATTTTTTACCTTGACGGTGTTCAAACACATGCAGCTAGAAGTCCTAACATTCTTTAACTTACGCGTTTACCACTCGGCTTACATTTATTTATATCGTGGTCGTGGGGTACTTATATCTCTGTGGAAAGTAATAACAAGTTCTTCAGGTGAGATGTGAAAGTTGACCTGATAAACTTCTACCAAGTTAGCTCAAAATCATGCTCCTGGTGGCGAAATTGCCCCTATTTATTTGGTTTGCGTTATCTATGTCCCTAAGTTTTAAAAATCTGATTAGTTATAAAATATTCAATCAAATAAAAATTTAATCGGAATCTATAAAAAAACTACAAGAAATATCATGTGGACAACAGACTTATGAAAGAAAACGGTGAAATTTCAAAGAATCGCACATATACAAAGGAAATTACTGTGAAAACCATAATTGACAAACTAGTAAATTTCCTTTTCTTGAATTACATTTTTTTCCGTCCACATAAATTACTTATATTTTAACTATTGGATCGTTAAACTGACTTGATAAGCATTCTTACTTAACTAAATGAAAAACACGTAATTCTACAAAAATCAATCTATGGATGGTTAAATGATCAAAGAAGTTACTATTAATTTGACGAATAATATCATAAAATAACTATCGAGCAGTATGATAATATATGTATTTGAAGGAAAAAATAACTGGTACCAGTGGCCAACGGTTAAAGTAACAATGCAACTCTCAAAAATGCAACATATAATTTAAATATAACGCCCTAATTCAGGAAATCTGCAGAATATCCTATCTTAACATTAAATCTTTTCAGAAAACTGCGCCCGTGCAACACGCCGCAACCACATTTGTTTTAGTAATATATGTTTTCTGGTATATATTTTGCCTTTTAAAGCACACATAACATGTCACGAAGGCACTGAATTTCACGATTTTTGGCGTTTACTGTTAGAAATCATGAAAGAATATTTAAAATATCGTGTACTTCATACATTTATTTCGGTAACTTTATATGCGATTTTTATTTTTAAATGTGTCTTTTTGCGCTATTATTTATAACCAAGTACAAACTTTATTTCGTGATATATTGTACTTGCCCTGAACGGTGAACACATTTATTAGCGATATTTAACATCGGAATAATGAGCACCTATGATCATAGAGAGACGAAATCCTCCGTAGAAGTGCATATTAATAAATCAAAGTTTGTTTCGATCTCATCTGCTGTCTAGTCACAAAAAAAGCTCCAATGTCAGAATGGGTTTCTTAAATAGATCAATGGATAAGCAAAAATTCATTTTTTTTTCTTCAACTATCAGCTTTAACATATCTGCAATACATGTTTGAATAACTTTACAATCCTCATTTAAATCAAATCGCAATACTTTGATTCACTTGTATAAGATATAAAGTACTGAAAACAAACACATGTTATTATCAAACATTCTAACTTCACACTATTTCCATAACAAACAGTGCATTGAATGAGTGTCTAAGCTTAATTAATACTGAATTATTGAACGGGTTCAATAAATTTAAAAATGAACTTACACGAATTTAATGTTCTATTTATTACATACCAAAAATAAATACCGTTTGAAGTGAAAAAGATTTTTCATTGACGCGCCTTAAGTATAACGCGATTTAAAATTTAGCGCGTCTTAACGATACTGTATGTATAATATCTCATTTGCATAAGCCCTTCTATATTCAATATGACGTCATCCAGTCCATAAATCGCATACAGACCGGCTACCCAGTCCATATTTCTTATACAGACTGTTTTAACGTTCACGACGTACTAATTTTACAACACAACAGACGATATTGTCATACTGTCAAACTTTGATTAACAAAAATGGAATATTAAAAGAAGAGCATGTTTGTTTGCTGCATCGCTTGAAAATAATAAAAAAAAACCGACTGGGGTTTGAACTATTTCACACACTGAACAAATAAAATAATAATTTGAAAGCAAGTTATATTAAAAATGACAGCAATAAAATGGATAAGAGTATTTAGATTCGTTATAATATAACAAATAAAACATGGCCTTTCGTACAAAATGCAAGTTTAAGAGCTGGTTGGTCAGACCTCGGAAGTATTATGTTGTATTATTATTTGGCACGATTTTCATTTAGTATCAGGTTAAATGTCTTTATAGTTTCTTTGCATATAATAAAAGAAATTTTGTTTAGTTGACTGTAAGATCAAAATATATTTCACATCGTGAACACCAAAAGTTCATATTTCACTCGTGGCTGCTGAAATATACCTTTTGGTACTCACTCGGTGAAATATATTCCGATCTTACACTGAACTAAACAAAGATCCTCTATATAAGGGTTCTCATTTATTGATAAAAGAAACGTGCTTTTTTGTTTACTAGTAAGCTTAACTTTCAGCAAAATCCGTTAGAATTGGTAGGGTATACTTTGATCAGTATTCAAAGACAAATTATCATCTTTCTGGTAATAATCTGATTTACTTTATAAACTGAATAAAAAAACTCACAAAATTGCGAAAAGTGATTGATAGAACAAATCATTTCAAGGTATATTTATAAATGTCTTAATGCAAAATTACAAAGCATTTATTTCTTCATTAAATATTAATGCTTTTCTCACACGTGGCGCATTTAAATAGCGGAATGTTATAAATTTTAGTTGTTCAAACATGATCGTGATTATCATAAAAAGAACCCACATTTGATATATTATTGCATTTATTCAATGCAAATAATTAGACTGTTTTTCAAATGTGGAATTCGCCAAAATTAATATTCTGGTTTATCCACGGATTTTGCGGCTATTTTCGACGCCATCTTCTTCCGCATTCTTTAGAAAATAGAACCTGCTCACTTTGTATCCAGCAAAAAATAGGTGATGAATTTCACTACTAGTATATTTAAATGTAGTTATTTTACTCATGAAAGACACGAGTATATCAGTAATAACTATTCAAGGTTTCCTTGTATTGTAAATTTTCAGGCTTAAATGTGTAGTGATAACAGACAGAAATATTATATCCAATCTTGTTAATAACAATGTAATGCTAAAATTTTACTAAGTCATCTTCCTTATGTTGCAGTCTACTTTTATGCCATGTTATCATGTGTTGTATTGTTTGTTTGTTTACAATTATGCTCTTAAGTGTCAGCAGTTTGTGTTTATAAATACCTTGTTTCATGATTTCATTCCTTGTCTCGCAATGCATTATTTTTTTCCCCTGAAGTAACATTTTTTAGTTTAAAGGCCGATTATGTCATAGACATGCTTTTATTTTTATTTCTTTAAAGCTTTTTATTAACTGTGTTGTCCTTATAAAGTTACTACAAAAGTTACTCATTGGCCAATTACCTGAACCATCTTTAGCTCCCGATGCCTTTTGACAATTACCTGAGTATAGTGATTTAGTATTTTGTATGGAAGTCAAAATGCTTCTTTGTTTACATTTTATTACTTTTATGACAAATAATTTCATATTTAACGCTGATTTTTAATGTGATAGACATCTTATAAGCTCTAAGCCTTTATTTCAATATTATAAAACTAATGTTTGCCTTTTTAAAGAAGGGCAAAAACAATCAAACTAATTTCTGGGGCATACTTTGCCTCTAAGCATATTTTATTACATCACCTACATGTAAAATATTATACAAAAAAGAGAAAAAAATGGTTTGTGCAACAAGTTCTAGCAACATTAGATTAAGCCCTTCCCAATAAAATAACTTGATTTCACAATAATTTATTTTAGTACACATGTACATATTAAGCCTTAATTTTAAGGGATACTCAGGCAAAGTAATGACAAAAATATTAAAATGAGCTTTCACTCTCGAATAACGCTATAATGACATTTTAAAGTCCCAGCATGAATTAATGTTTATATTCTATATATTTGGTGTTTGGAGCGTAAATATATCTAAATATGTTAAACGGAATTTAGACGCCGACAGAATCACCGAGTAGTTTTAAAACAAGTCATGTGATTTGAACAAACCCTGGAAGTTGTTACAAAAACAGATATTGTGGATAGTCTTTGATTGAAAAAAGTCTTAATCATTCATTCGATATGTTATTTAATGTTTCCACAGTTCACTATGACAACTAATTGTAAAATCTGAACGCTCTAACCTGACCCCCCCTGGGTCAAGTTAAAATTTCCCCTAAATTTTTTTCGTATAAGGATTTAAAAATGTTTTTTCTTTTTGGAAATGCTTAGTGATTTATTTTGGGGGACATTAAAAGAATAGTGCAGGAAAAATTTAAAAAAAAAGAAGTAAAAATTTTTCCTGTTTCTTTCCCTTTTAAAAGGTTTCCCCAACCCCCCAGATGAACCAAAATATTTCCAGAAAATCAAACTTTAAAAAAAATATTGAGATCTTAAGAAACGTATTAAGATTTAAAATTATTCAACAATTTCCCTGTTACGTGCAATTTTATGACACAATATTTTTACTACGTTACTAACGCAGTTAGGGCTGTATTGCATAATTTGACCTCTTTTTTTGGTAATTTACATGAGTCGTAAGTGTTGTTGTGCTGTTTGCAATTTGAAATTATTTTCTTTGTTCACTTAACAATATTTTACTTTTTAATTCATTTTCAAAATGTTCATGAAAATTATATTGAATCTGGAGGCGTGCTGCTTTAACATTAACGTTAAATGTAATGGAAAAATATTATAACTTTTTACCAGTAAACTTTAAACTGAATTTAGAAGCATCTCAAAAACACCCGTACAACTTGCACGTTTATTATAGCTATTTTTTTTACTTATAAGTTCATTTATTTCTATTTGCATGTTTTTGACGTTTTATAACTTGTTTTTGATATAACCTTGTACAAATAAAATTGAAATAACAATCAAATTGATATTCACTAAAGCAGTTTACAATATAAACATAAATGACAAATGGTCAAACAAAGATTATTCAAGGTCTATTAATGAAAGCGTTTGAGTGTCTAGTTATCCATTCCCCGTTTCCTTATCAAATCAACTCTTTAAATATTCTATGTTCAAAATTGATATTGGAAAATATTGAAAATTGCTCTACGGTCCCTTTGTAAATATAAAATAAACATGTTTTGACTTCACACAAAGTGTAGATATGTTATGTTTAAAATTCCACACACTCAAGGTGGCCACAATATGAATATATAGAGTCATTTAAAAAGCCTGGCGGTTTTTCTTTCTTAGAAAGTACCAACTTTATTTTATTTGACCTGTTATAGGGAACGTACGGAGCCCCTAAAGTGACATTTCCGACACTTTTTTCCCGGCAATTAATTCGTTTTTACGTAACATTAATTCGTTTATACGAAATAATTATTCGTTTTTACGAAATAATAATTCGTTTTTACAAAATATTAATTCGTTCTTACGAAATATTATTTCGAAATTACGAAATATTAATTCGTTTTTACGGAATATTATTTCGTAAGTACGAAATATTAATTGTTTTTACGAAATATTAATTCGTAATTACGAAATATTAATTCGTAATTACGAAATATCAATTCGTTTTTACGAAATATTGTTGCGTAATTACGAAATATTGATTAGTTTGTACGAAATATTAATTCGTTTTTAAGAAATATTATTTCGTTTTTACGAAATGTTAATTCATAATTACGAAATATTAATTCGTTTTTACGAAACATTATTTCGTTTTTACGAAATAATGTTTCGTTTTTACGAAATATTAATTCGTACATACGAAATATTAATTCGTAGTTACGAAATAATAATTCGTTTTTACGAAATAACAATTTATAATTACGAAATATTAATTTGTTTTTGCGAAATCTTATTTAAGGTCATTGTGTGCTTGACAAAGAACCTACAAATCTCACAAAGGGATCATTTATAAGCCTGGATCAACCTTGCAATAATATGCTGAATGGTTGTCATGTTATTTTATGTAAGTGAACAGGGTTTTTGAGTGAGAAGTCATCCTCTATCCAAAATGGCCTCGTTTTTCCCATTGTCAAATACATGTTCCTATAAGCAACGTCTTAATTTTTTAGGCAATTAATCCTTTCTGATATGATTCTTTTAAAAAGAAGCATCCTATATTATTGCTTTCTTTTTTCATATTCATTAGTAAACTAAAGGGGCGACGGGGAGTAGGCTCCAGACTTTCACTAATCTAATCAATTTAAAAAAGTACATTTCCTTACAATTTATGTATGGGCACCGTGAGATCATAAAAAAACATAACATTTTATTTCAAAACTCAATAATTTCGACTAAACGAAACTGAAAAAATGTCCGTGTTTGGATTTGAAGCACAGGACCCCCATTTTTACAAAAAAAATTCCCAGCGCACGTACTTTCACGGCTGTGGCGGCAACGCTATAGCCAGACGATTATTTTAATTTATATACAATTATAGTGGTAAGTTATAAAACTTGGGGAGAAAAAAGTCACTATTTATATCATATTTAATTGCCTTATATTCAGTCGGGAACTTAGTTTCGAGACCTTTTTAATTACTATTTACAAAATTTTGAAATCCTATAAAAAAATTAATTTGTTTTTACAAAATATCATTTCGTATTTACGAATTATTATTTCGTAATTACGAATTAATATTTCGTAAAAACAAATTATTATTTCGTAATTACAAATTATAATTTCGTAAAAGCAAATAAAGTTACGGGAAAAAAGTGTGGAAAATGTCATCTTAGGGGCTCCGTAGGAACGTAACTTCCCAGCCATAGTTTATTCATTCTTTCATTCAAATAAGACATATTCAGGAAAAAAATATAGATTTCAATAAATTCCCATAATCAAGAGGTTTTAATTAAGGATGAGCATCGTAAATCTTTAATCATAAATGCATTATTTTATTAGATTTTTATTGTTTAAATTATGTTCCAGAGATGTTGTCTGTGTTTCTGTATTTTTGTTTTAAATTTTGGCGTCTTGTTATACTTTCCAAAACGTTTCTTGTCGGCCAAATGCCTGAACCGTCTTTAGTTACTTGTTTGTTTACATTTTGTTACTTTAATGCTGAATAATTTTATATTCAGCTTCTTTCTACACATGACATGTACATATGATGCCCTAAAACCATTATTTAAACATTACAAAACTCATGTCTGTCCTTTCCAAGGCACATTGTGCCTTTAAGTAATTACCGAGTATATTTACATATTTTAAATATTGCCTACTTTTTAATTTAAAGTATACCACTTGATTTAAAAATAATTTCAAATTATATTATTTCAGACTATAATATTAGACTATTGAGTTCCTTCAAGTATCTATGACAATGAAAAAATAAAACTGACCTCAATTGTTATCCACTCTAGGGGCATTAATGTCCTAGTCAAAAGATTAATAGACGTATACCACGAGTATTTTTTTTGTTTATCACAATGTGTTATAATATTTAAATATATATTTCTTATCTTCAATCCACTTTTTTCCATGATGCAAAAATTATCTCTTTTATAGAAATTTCACAATTCACCGTCATTTGTAATGTATTTTTCAACTTGCAATATATTACTTGATATTTTTATCATATTGGATATCATTTTCATCTTCGCGTTACTAATAATTAAGGATATGTGATTTCCAGGTATTTTTTCCAGCTTGCCTTTTAGTTAGAAAACCAAAGTTTAAATTTTTTAAATCGCTCCAATTTTGAGTCATGTCCCATTTTGTAATTATTATGAACAATTACGACGTTTTTACGTTTGTCGTCGTTAAACTTACCAAAATACAGATTCCCTGATGGAAACAAGTTCCTGTCCAGTGGCTTTAAGTGTATGGTCGAGTTTCTGTGAACTTTGTTAAACGCGGTCTGGTCAATATCTAAACGTGTTTTCAATGAGGCTTCCCACTTTTTCATTAGTTTTATAGACTCATTATTGCTTTTGATAGCCATCAGCCCGGTGCATAAATTTCCAGGACTGTCAACTTGCATCCACATATCATATTGTCCCTGGAAAAATGGAGCTGGGTCATGTAACCAAACAGAATCTGTGTCTGCGTAAAGAATATTTGTTCCTTTCTCTAAATATCTTAGAATATATGTTGGCCTGCCCGATGCAAGTTCCTTGAATCCTTTAGATCCATATACAACAGCCGACCCGAGTGAAATTCTCCAACTCCTTACAGGAGTGAATCTTGGTTTTCCATTTATTTGGCGAAGTCTTAAAAACGCAACATCGTCCTCGGCAATGATTATCATGGGGTAGTTTACTTGAAGCTTATTGTAGAAATGAATCCAGTTTTGAAAGAAGTCCAAATACGCATTATTGACTGTCATCAAAATTGTCCAGTTTTTGTTGACAAACTTTTCGGACTTGTCTTTTTCGTACATATCTTTCTGAAACGGTATTGGTGTTTTATGTATTAAGACGCTGAATAAAAATAAAAAACAAATCAAAGACAATCCAAGTAAAAGTTTTCCTATTAAGTTCATGTCTGTTCTCTAGATGATATGGTATAAGAACCAAACGGTGTAAATTTATCAATGCGTTTTTTAGTGGAAAGCTATAAACTTTAATAGATACTTAAAGTTTGCTTTTATGCCCTCTTTACAAACAAACTGCATGATGTAAAACATTGTTAACAGGTTTTGTTTAAATATCTTAACGTCCCTGTTTAGCCAGGAAAAAAGTGACCAATGGACGAGCAGGTGGAAATGATATTTCTATCACTATCACTTTTTCTGTCGTCAAAATAAGTGAATCCCAGACAAAAATGAGCCAATCCATGGGCATGCCACACTGATGCATATATATCTCTGACACATTGTCAACACAAAGGTCCCCAAACTTTGATACAAAGATAAGTTTTGTTTTTAAATTCAAACACAGAATATTGGTAATTGATTGGTCAGAATCTGGCACAAAAACTCTAATGTCCAATGAAAATCATGCGATTTAAGGTAGAGTTCAGGAAAATATTTTTTTTAAAAATCTCAAGGCCAATAAAAAAAGCAAACAAAGTTACTGACACCGCTTTTCTAATGTCGTGAATAAGGTTTTGTTAGCATACTGTGAAGCAAATAAAATAGTTTGTAAAAAAATATCAATGATGCATAGAAGATATTTAAGTTTTTTTTCTCTCTTAATACAGGAAAATAAATATGCCATGAGTGACGATAGCCACGAGTGAAATATGATAATTTTCATATCACAAAATGAAAATATATCATGCATTATAGAAAAAAAAACTTGAATTTTCTGTTTATCATATACATCTTTTCATATTTTATCACATCACATGCTTTCGAACTTTTTCTTTGTTCTTACTAACCCATTATACTCAGTACACTTCAATGAGCACTTGTAAACTGTATTGATATAACATTTATAGCAGTGCAGTCTTTTCATTGACTCATATAGGAAAAAACTCAACTGCTATAGAGCAGTTGAGTTTTTTTGTACCTGCTATGTATCGGTTGAGTTGTTTTTTCACAGAGACTCTAATGGGGAATCGGAAACGAACATTCCGAATAATATCAACGAATAAAATGTATTCTCATGTACACAACTGCTTAAATCAAAAGGTACATCCGCTGAAAAAAGTCCTTAAATCTTGACTAAATATTTTTTTTCTCCACAAGGTATCGGTTTACAATCAGTCTCTTACATTTGACGTCTTTAAATTGTCAAGGGTTGCATGTCTTGTTTTATTATTTTGTCTTTCTTTTTTCTTGTTTTTATTTTTTGTCGGCAGCGAAAACACCTTCAAACTGCCTTGTTATAAATAGCTGTTAGGTAGCTTACAACAGCATTAGATGGTATTGGTTCATTTTACCTGGGGTTTCTATTTTTTTTTCTTTAAGTTTTGCTGATTTCTGATATAAAACACATGTGTGAAATTGCGATAAAACAGTTATAATAAATGAAACTCGTTAGTTACGAGGGTATAACACTGACTGGGGCAACATCTCGGGATGCTCCTGCAAAACAATCGTCTTGGCCTATCGGCCTCGACATTTTTGTTAGCAGAATGTCGCCCAAACCAGTGATATATATCCTCTTAACTTACTTGTTTCATATACTATAACTATTACTTAACATTACAATATGAAAGAATTTCCGTTAAATTTTGTGTACTGTAGTAGCAGACTGTATATCCAAGCCAATTAATTATGCGCACAATTTTAGATCATTGTCTCTCTCCATTTTATCGGGAATTTATATTTTGTGCAAAATAAAAATGCCAAAATTCCTTAAAAAAAGAACAAAAATGAAAAGAAAAAGAAACAACTCAGACTAAGAATAACATTCTGAAACCGATTTGAGTTTTAATTCCGAGCGTACATAAAATCTTTTGCATAATACATTTTATTTCATTAAAGGCACACAACTTTAAGCCTCACTTTTACCTCTGAAAATTTTCAAACTACGGTTTTATATCATTTAAAGGGTATATTGCACTGACCTTAGAGAATAAATTATTCCTTTTTGAAACCTAATGTCAAAGTGTTTTTGAGGAAGAATATGCCTGCTTAAAATATCTTATGCATATTTGATGAAAAGGTTGCTATAATCATAATGTTACTAAGTTATGTTCAGAATTAACGTCTGTCTTATTAATTGCCTTCAGCACTCCGATTATTCCCTTAAAAGATGTAGTTATTCATAAGTATCAAATAGAAAACTATGCAAGTAAGTAAAAGAATGAAGCAAAAGTGTTCAACTTCTAATAAATACTCACTGGTTAATCTTTTTACCCACTGAACTTCACCTACCTTGGCCGTCAGTCACAATTTCCAACAACATGTTCAATATTGTGGCCATTGATCTAGAGGTAAAAAACATGTATGTAGGGAAAACATTCTGCAAGTCTTTTCTCCCACGCCATTTAACTTTTTATAGGTTGTAAAAAGAAATAACACTTTGATGAATATTTAACTTACATACAATGTATGCATGCACATTGATATTAAAACGATATATGAATTTCAACATAATTCCTTTCTATGTACAAAAAGTGACACTTTTCTTCTGTGCACTTTTGGAGCTATTTTAGTTTTTAGTAAATTCCATGTTTTAATAAATGTTAGCCTTTGAGGAATGCTGTTTAGATTTATCGCTATTATCAGTATTATTTGTCTTGTTTTTCTTTTCAAAATAGGAACCACGTTCAAGGTCCGATTATTTAGCTATTTTATTAGTTTACATGATACATTCATTTTTAAATGAACATATCAACAAACATAACATACAGGTCTGGAAACTATACCTACATTTATATGCATACTAGTGTATATTTGTATGCATAATAGTATATATTTGTATGCATACTAGTATATATTTGTATAATGTGAGTATCTTATAGAAATCTACTTAAACGTTAATCACAATACGAAAACGGAGAAACTTTGTAACACCAGTCCATAATGGGGACGTGAACATATTGTTAGACTTGGGTTATGAACTTTTTCGCTAGCCAGGTTTATATATACTAAATGAACCCAATTTATTAATAACACAGGCACATTTTCATGCAATTTGTTCACACCTGGTTTTTTTAAATTAATGTCAAAACTTTTGGTCATAACGATTCATAAACAGTTTATGAACTGAATTTAAGTAAAACAGAACAGCTCATGAATTATTCATCGACTCCAGTTTAAAGTAACTTCTAATTGAATTTTGTTGTAAAATGGAAGAATTTGTATAAACAGCATTCACATTGCATTATACACATTGGTAAAAAGAATTTCTAGTTTTACCCATTTTCTGAGCGTCAAAGATTAAGGCCATCGTTAAAGACATTTGAATTGAAGAATTTGATCATTAACCTTAAAACTTTATTGTTAAACGCTACAAAAGGCATGAGCCATGCTATTATGAAAGCTGTTGTTTTGTTTTATTGTCAAACTAGCTTTTACTTGTGTACAACTCATAGATGTAAATATTTTAATAATAAATTTATGTACTATTAGATCCCAGTTCTGTGGGGTCGGGTTAATACTTGATTTAGTTGATATACTAATTTTATCATCATTCTCTGCGACTGAAATATTTGATATATTTAAATATTTTAAACTTAATTGAACTGTACTTTTTCTCAAATAGCAGGTTTAGCTATAATTGTACATCTGCCTTATGCATGATGACAAAAACCGGTTTTAAGAATGCTAAAAGCGGGATGTTGGTTTAAGAAGAGTCTACAGTGGCCCATGAAAGATATACACGTAGTTAAGTTTATATGTAATCATAGTAAAGGTTTAATGTTTTTCATTATGTATCACAATTATATAGAACAGATGACAAGATTGGTTGACATGCAACTATCATTTATGATTGTTAAACTAAATATCTGTAGTCAACATGTGTTCCAATAACAAGAACACCAAGTTTGTTCTAAATCACCAACCTGTATTACAATGCACCAAATACAAAATTTTTATCCTTGTGCTTTGTCACCGTGGAAATTTATTGTTATATGGATAAGTGATTCGATGTTAAGTAGGATTTTTAGTGGGTGAATGCCAATTTAACTAATTTGTTTGGTCAAATCTCGCTATTGATCCACGTGGTCGACTTCCTGGATAACTAACCAGTAAATACCAATATCGCACATAATTTCAAAATCTGTGATGAGAAACAAATAACAATTAGACATTGCCCGGTATCAATTGTCACTGACTAATCATACCAATTTAATGTTCTTCTTATTTGGCTAGACATTTTACATAATTAACTGTACATGCTTAAATAAAAAGGGTCAAAACCCTTTAAAACAAACATGTGTATTATGATGGCATTTCAAATTTACCATATATATTTATATATTTCATTCATACATTCATGTTCATGGTGATTTGAACTAACAATTTGAAAGAAGTACAATAGTTGGCTCTAGAAAGAATGTTTGCTTCTTACAAATAAATGCATATCTAGTTATAAAAGGTAATAAAGCCGAAACACATAAATTGACTAAGAAAAAAGTATTAAATTAAATTATTTCTAAATTCTGATATTTATCCATGTAAAGATTCTTTAAAATCTAGAGTGGCTTTAAGTTTGTCTAATTTTCCTTTAAAACTGATCATACAACTGTACCTCAATAAAATACTATTACATAGTGAAAGATTTGATTATTATTGACATTGTTTCCTTATTATTGAATACATGTTTAGTTTCAATTCAATCAAACCAAGTAATTGCAAACCAAACTATGGCCCGAAAGTGCATTTTTTCAAAGAGAAAAGGATCATAACTTATAAACCAGTAGGTGATATAAGGTTGCAACCAGATTTTTTTCTATATGATTTCAATTATGAAGATATTCTTGAAAGATGAATCACATGAAACACTCCTGCTAATCTCATAAACTTTGGCGAAGAGGTTCAGGTGAAGATACAAATTTAAGCTAAGAGACGCACTCACTGACAAAAGAAGACCACAAAAACTTCACCAAATCAAAAGTAGACACTAAAACACATTTTAAGATAACATGAATGTCAAGAATTGATATGTTTAATTGAAAAATCTTATAGGACAATAATATATACAAGCTGTCTCAAATCTATCTTACATTTTACATGTCATTTAACATCTGACGATAAGTTGATGTGAAAAAGCAACAGCTTTATCTACTGGAAACATCTTCCAGTACTCGCACATACATTTATAAATAGCCATACTTAGTTACAGTAACTGAATAATTTTTGTGTGCCAAATTTAGACACTCTACTCTACATGGTAAAGGGAAGGAGCAGTCTATTGATCAATAGACTTCTGGTAAATGGTAATAGTTATCAGGAATGGTGTTTGAAATCTCACTGTTTCTTTGACGCCTTACACTGTGCTCATTCGCACTTACATCTCCAAATCATGTTGTGTAACACAATGAAATTCTACATATATGTCTTCCCAAAAACAGCTCATTCCTTTGATTTGTATTCAATAATTTGGTCATTATTAATATTACGTGCCTGTTCATCCTTTGCACAATAAATACATATGCAAAGGTTATAATTTATCATAGCCGTCAATACGGATCAGAAATTGTTGCCCTTTTATATTATAGATAATATATCGCAAGCGATGTCGTGATCGCAGTGCCACGCCTTCGGGACCAATCTCCTCCAAAATAACACTAATTTATTCTAGCGATGTTGCCCTTTCTTTTTGGTAAACAGTTTTCTGCTGATAACGCACTTGATTTATCTGATAGCCTTAAAGATGCGTTGTGTCTTCGTCACTGTAAGCGCTTCATTATCCTCTTCATTTGATTAATCCTCACTGTAATGTTGTGGACACTCAATAGAAAACCGCATATATCTTTCCAATTTGAAGCGTATCTCTGTGTCCGCTGGTGAAGACGGTCAACACACTCAGGTCGACTCATCCATAATAAAACAATGAGTATACGCCAGCCCTGAAATGTACACATAAAACATTTAGTCTTTTTCAAACTATCAAAGGTATGCTCACACTAATTTTAGCAAGTCTGGTAACCGTACGTGAATCGTGCCGTGTCCGGGCCTAAAATCTGTGTATGCAGTTGATTGAAAGAATTAACAAAATTCATCACAGGTTGGGAAAATATAAGTGCAACTCTACGGGGCATATAACTTAGATTATTTTGTATATTAAAAACTCTTAATTAACTATCAATAAAATGAATCTATCTTACTGGTGATAAAATAAAACTGCTTACTTTTGTTGCAAAAATCGTGGAAATTCTTATTTTCAGTCCTTCCTGACACGTATACTATCGCTCTAAAATAACCCACCACGATTCTATATATACATGGTATTATTTTCTTATAAGTCGTTAACTCGACATATTTTTGTGCATAGAAACCATATTATAAAGGCAGAAAGGTTCCAATATGTTGCCTTAAGGAAATTCTGTATGTGGTACATCGACTTAAGTAATAAGACATGATACAATAATCATTCATGTCATCCTATTATTTGTTGTCATATACTTTATATCGATATCATTCAAGTTAACATATTTCTTATTGTCTTTTTGTCGTCATTATTGTTGTCATACTGTTCATTTTATGTAAAGAAAATGCATGATGGTTTTTTTAAACAATTTTCGAGTAACCTTGGATTTTATTTGGCTTATTCTATAGCTGTTGTTGGGTCATATTCCCAATTGAAAATAGTATATTATTTTTCCAATCCACAGGAAAAGTTCCCAATTGAAAGTTACAAAATAAAAATATTGAATAAAAATTCTATAATCTTTGCAAATAAGGGCTTCTTCACTGTAATAGTGCTTAAATGTCTGAAGATGGCGTAATAGACGGTAATTGTTTGCATCCATTTAATCACTTCAAAATTTCAGTCATGCATTTTTCGTTCGAAAATGACTTGGAAGGGGTTGGGGTGACTCAACTGCTTAACCTCAATATTCGATTAATACTGGTGTTATTGAAAGTTGAGTTTCTTAATTTTCACAGAATACCGAGTACCACAGAATACCTACTAATTACAACTGTGACAGTGTCTAAGTACCATTTAATGTTCCTTCTTAATTCCTGTATCAACTGACACAATAATAGTTCAAACAAAGGCTTGGTACTGTGCATCTGATTGATATAGATCTTTTGGTAAAGGGTCAACTCGGCCTTATACCAACTCGGCACGGGTCAGTTCGGCCTTCTATTACAAATTTATATTAGGATATAGATTGTTTACATTGTTAACATATAAAAAGTAATCATTACCAGTAATATATAATTATGGGCCGAGTTGACCTGTGCCGAGTTGGAACAGGGTCGAGCTGACTCGGGGACCGAGTACGATTTGGGGCCGAGCTGACCTGGATTTGATCTTTTGTTTCGAAGCAAATATTTTCTTACTTTCAGAATGACTGTGGTAAAATTTTACATATACATTTGTTTTTTTTAAAGAGTCTTTAAATTTTTAAATTAAATATGTATAATTATTAATATATTAATATGAAAATGTCCATTGAGACTAATCAGTGTAAGAACTAATTATGAATATAATAAGCTAATAAATAATTTACCTGTGTTTTTAATCGTTTCAAACGAATGTTCTCTATTGAAGGTCGATTCATAGTGGTCTCCTTTTAGGATTAGTGATTGTTTACATTAACAATGGTCGGAACGGAACCGAATACGAGTCCCTTTCTCTTACTTTTAAAATTCAGAGATTGTGCCACTTTACTTGTATATGCGCCCTAAAATGTTTGCAGATTTAATTTCTTGTTGTGAAGGTTTTCAATCCATTTCTTGCACAATTTCCTATGATCGTATGATTAAAGAGGATCCGGAATAGGGAAAAAAACTTTCCCACACCCACTTTTGTTTACACAATCAAAAGCCTGGCACTGCGGCATTTTTATCTTTCGAAACACAGGTGATCCTGGCACATATATTGACTTAAATTATAGCTGCACAATAGATACACACTTTCCATGAATTTTCGCAATGATTATAACACAAAAAATCCAGCAGAGAAAGCCAGAGTCGATTTGTTTACACAATTAAGCCTGGTCCAGCGGCATATTTACTTTCGAAACACAAGTGATCCGGTCACATATCTTGACTTCAATTATAGCTACACAATAGATACACACTTTCCAAGCTATCAGTTAACCAAATGTTTCGTCAATGATTATTTCACAGTGAAATAAATGGGAAAAAATCAAGCAGAGTCGATTTGTTGTTGTTATTTTCATAGCGCGCGATTTAACCGGAAGTGTATGACATCACATTCTCGGTCTCGCGAGAATTAAATCGTTAACATGGCTGCGTCCATATGCTCCAAAAAAAAATAAATAAACGTTCGTTTCTCTCGTAATCGATTGACTTAAATACCCTTTTTATCCTAAACCTACTATTTTAAATATTTTCAATAAAATAAAAGCGCTTTTATGTCAGCCATTCTTATTCCTTTAAAATCATATAATAAAATTGCTTAAAGAATACACGAACGTTCATTTTGAGACTAATTTCATTGAAATCGACCAAAATTTTACCATTTTGGAAGCAAAACTTCAACGTTGAAATTTAAAACTTAATGAATCGGGCCACAAAATCCGGATAAGGGTGAACTTTCTTAATATACACAATGCACATCGTTTTGAATATTAAATTCATAACAACATCCTCAAGAGAGTCTTCATATGCACATTTTAAGACAAATTTAAAAAAAAAGAATAAGATTTGACTAATTTTGGAGCTAAATTTGGACGTTGAATACCTGAAAATGTATTTATACCTGCAAAATGCAGGTGAGGCAGTAAAATTGTTTTAATTTTGCCATTTAAAGCCTTGTTTTATAATAAATTTTCATATTTTAATGTGACAACAATGTCATAACGTACATTATACGGTTATTTATGTAAATATCGAGTGGTATTTACGTTATATAAAGGCAAAAAAAAATCGCCACAAAGCAGGGTAGGGATTAGATTTCTTTTAAAAGCAGCCGTATTTGCTGTTTGATTTAAAATCGTAATGTAAGGTTCCTTTAACAATACACAAATATGCATTTTGAGCCTAATTTCATTGAAATCAACCCAAATTTGACCATTTTGGAAGCAAAACTTCAACGTTGAATTTTCATAATTTTATGAATTGGTCCGCAAAATCCGTATAGGGGTGAACTTTCTAAAAAAATGCAATGCACATCGTTTTGAATATTAATTTTCTTACAACAATGTCAAGAGATTGTCCATGTGCACATTTAAGACAAGTATATATATATAGAAGAACAGTTGGCTTATTTTGAAGCTTAATTTCGACTTGCATACCTAAAAATGTATTTATACCTGCAAATTACAGGTGAGGCGGTATAATTATTCTAATATTGACATTCAAAATTATTAGAATATTTCAAACATATAATCATTAGAATTAAATAGAAAATCACAGTTTCCTCTTATGATGGTATATGTTTAACCAAATCTTACAAAGCCATAGTTTTCGAGTTTACACAATAATTGTGTAAATTCGACAACGATTTTTCTCTATACTGACATTTTTTGGTGTCGTTAGTTGTTAGTAATTTGCTAGGAAATTGTCTGAAGTAATAAGTAAAATTGAATTAATATTTCAATTGTTTATGTTTTATTGATTCTCAGTCTACACAATGAGTGAATACGTGCTATTGTAAACAACACTATGACGAAAAGTAAGATTCGAAGTACATTTGTCTAATTTATACCTGTACCATATATGATGAAACGATTCCTTATCACTAACTTCTTTCATTTAGAACAATTCTGTTTTAATCAAGAAATTAACACATTTACGGCTGTAACACAATATACAGCTACAAAGTTTGTGTATTTCCAATGTCAGGGAATGAAAACCCCAATATATTGATATAACGCCATTTTGCGGTAATGCTAGCATGTAGCTTCATTTTGTCAATAAGGATTAACATGCCTATAGGGGGATAAGAAAACATGCAAGCTCTATAAATGTACATCAGCAAAATGAGTTTCTGGTATATATGATTTCTACAACGAGAACAAAGGTTACATCTGAGTGTGAATTGCCTAATGGGTTATTTTATGTAATACTCATTAACAGATAAGAATTTATCTTGTACGTATTTGTTCCTATATCTTTCAAAATAATATGTTTGATTGCTTGTGAATTCAATATCCTCTTCAATTACACTGAGTGGATCTGATGTTATATGAAAATAAAGTATATAAAGAAACCTTTCATGTTTTATAAAGCTGCAGGCTTACACGCAAAAAAATCATCTTAATTGCTGAAAAGATAATAGTTTTATTCCTTTGAACATTTCTTTTTTTCCAATGATTTACCAAAATTAGTGCTGTAAATATATTTTCCTTCGGGAAGTATATGCGCGTTAGTAGGATTTTGCATAAAAGAGGTTAATTTGCTTGATAATCTGTCAAATTATTTAATAATATAGATATTTTTGCACCAAAAATGAAGGAGATAAAAGAAAATCAATCACTGAAATGTATTTTGTTTCTGTTTTTGTCTTTAAAAGGAACAAAACAATCAGCTTATGTAATAATTTGCTACGCGTTTGCATGGTGAGTTTATTGAAACAGACACACATTTTAGTTGAAATCATGGTAATAGACAAACGGGTTCTACGAGTCAAACATGAACACGGCAAACAACATCGTCAGTATTCCGAACATTTTATTCACGGTTGCAAGGTTTATATTACGTTAAATAACCATTTTAAATTCCATAGATAAACCCTGTATGTATTAAATGGAGAATAGATCATTTACAAAATCGTGTTGCAATTGAAAAAATAGTAAACACATATTGTTAATATTAGCATGCTTAGGAACACGATTCAGCTATAAAACAGAAGTATTCACAGCACGTTGCTGCAAATCATAGTAAATATATGAAGAAAGTTGGTTTAGGTAAATCTCTTTAACAATTTTCATGCACAATAAATATGACTGATTGATCAAATGATATAGTACAGCGGAGACTTGCTAATCCGAACCCTTCTTATCCGGAATCCTTTCTTATCCGAACAAAGAGTCCGGTCCCGATTTTATTTGTTCTATTTACAAAAGTTAAAAATCTTTCGGATCCGGAACCTGTCTACTCCGAATTCCGGACGATTTTTTCAATTTTTGTTCTCATTTTACTCTAAAATTGACCTCTCGGATCCGAAAAGATTTTGACATATTTACACCTACATTTAAAATAACAAATAATCGTACATCTTGCAGGTGTAAACATACAATAACTGATAAGATTAATTTCCCTTGATTAATGGGGGAAACGTATGATCTGCGAAAGTGTGAAAATTACAATAAGCTTGCCTTAATATCTACTATAATTGCTTAATTGATTGTTTTTCGTCACCTTCAATACATATTCTGATATAATGCAATATAAATATCTTTCCATCTTTTATAATGGATTTAATGACACGTGATTAAGTAACGGAAATTAATGGAAACTGTCCGTGAATTCGGATAATCGCTGAATCGGATAAGAGTAAACAACAATTCGCAAATGCTGGTAAGAATATTTAAACATTTCTCAGCCTCCTGTTTAACATCTTAACTTACTCTTGAGGACATAGCTTTTTTGCTTATTTGTTTATTTTTAATGAATTTAATAAAAAAGGTAATGCTTTTTCTTTATGGTTTTCATTTCCATTCATTCCCGTTAAAACCTTATTGTGGCATATGCCATATGTAATATATAGATATACACACTCGTAACGATGCGAAAATGCGACAAAGCATTAATGATTCAAAGCAAAATTTCAAGAAAACGAAACAGCAAATAACAATCGGAACATCTCGGCTATTATCAATAATAAGCTCGGACTTCGTACGGATTTAAAGTAGTTCTACCACGACGTTTAGATGTCAACATAGACAGAGGGTTTAATCTTTGATAATGTATAACAGATGTATTTGTTTAACATAAAAAGCAACGTGTATTTCGGTAAGAATTATTATTGAACCGGTAGACATTTTGTACTTTCGGTTTCTTCAACCACGATATTAACTTTTACATCAAACTCCCAACACTAAATAACAATTTGTTTGTTAACATGTTAAGTTTCTAAGAGTAGGTTACATCGAAGACCGTATCCGTTCTGTGTATTCTTACTATTGTGTTCAGGTCTTATCTGGAATTTGAAGGAAAGGGCCGTAAAGTAGCGATTGCATCAAATACACGAAAAGCCAAACAGCAAAGTAAAAAAACATAGAGGCTTCAATGTGTTAATATACAATAATGTATATATCTCATCTTTTTAGTTTCCAGATGTTTGGCATTACTTTTTTATCAAACTCTTAGATTTGCAAACATATATCCACCCGATGATATCTCCGAGTCTTTGGTTGAATAAAGCAGCTGATGTGTTTAATTGAACGTCTTTATGCCTATGGAAATTATTTAATAATGGTTCAAATGAACTGGCGTAATACCAGAGATAGTGAAAAGCCGATGGGTATTTATGAAGATTTCTTAACTCATTAACAAGTGAAGATTGAAAGATACACATTGTTTTTAGCATAATATTATTGAATGTTTGCAAATGAATATTATATTCCTTGGAGATTTTATGTTTGCGTTCAGTGAACATGGAAAATTCATTATCAATAAACCATATCTTGCCGTTTGGTGACATAACGCAATTATATAATGCTGTGGAAATTCTTCGTAATCTGGTTTCAGTTTCTCCAACTAGTTGGTAATGAATTAACCTGCAGAAAAACCAAAACATTCAAAATTAATAGAATTGGTCTATAGAAATGGTTCATAGAATTTATCTTTCAAAACTGTTACTATAGGCTTACTTCTAAGAAGGGACTCCACTGAGGAATTTTTTGACATGACGGGACTGGAAATAATTTTCCGAGGTTTATTTCTTATTGATGTAAGTCTAGATAAAAAAAACTTGCGTGCAACATTTTTATCATTTGTTAACTCCATATTTTCCAGAATGATTATCATAATTTTAGAAAAATGGACTAAAATGAAACGGCGTTGCAATTTTTGACTGAAATTTGACTTACAATACCACAAAAAATACGATTTTTTAATGTATTTCAAAGTATATTTCTTAATGATTTCTGTATAACAATGTATTAATTGCCAAATTCAAACTTTGGGCCTCAGTGGAGTAGTTCCTTTAAGGTATTTTATACAATAAACAGTGAAAAATAGAAGCAGCTAATTACTATCTCATGATATAAAAGTATCATTACAAGCTTCTCGTTCATAACTCGAGTACAACAGTCTGTGGAATAAGTGCAAATCCTGCATTTTCGCAAACTCAGCTACCCTTTCTAATGCAGTTTTAATACAAAAGTGAAATCAAACAATAATTTGGATGGAAAATAATCGATGATTTGGCCGTTTATACAAAAATACCAAAAATATAAAGCGCTGGGGAAGCATTCAAAGTGTATCCTCCCATGGTTGAGGGTGTCCTTGGTCGTATATTCATATGAAGAATTCGCAATAGGACATGTTACAGGTGTAGTGTACGCTTCTACAGTAAAAGTTAACTCATATAAATCACATAACGTGGTTAACGAAAATGTAACCTTTCAATTTACTCGGTGGTGTTTGTGTTGGTAGTTTCCACTCCGGATCACGGCAGTAAGCCATATTGAATTTACCAGAGCACAGTTCCACCACCGCATCGTTCCTGGACAGGCAGTAAAGCAGTTTACCAGTACTAGTTGCCTTCACTTTCGCAAGGAACTGATTACTTCTGTACATGCAAGAGCAGGGGTACAGTGCGAATGGCCCTAAAAAGGATTTCATGATCAATCACAATGAAAGTGGCCTGCGCCGTCCGGAAGTCGAACCCGGGTCGCCTGATTTACAGTCCAACGATCTACCTTTTAAGCTAACTAGACGGCTTTTTTCAATGTACTTCCATACAATTGGCTTTTTTACACGAAACTTTATACATCAAAATAAAGATGCAACGAAGAATCTTAAACATTTCATTTGAAAAAAAAACTTTATGAAAAGTTTTAAAATTGCTCACAAACAATTTACCTGTCGTGATGGCCAACTAAATAGTCAAAAACTATCAGCGTTCCCCATTGAATAAGTTCCGCTATTGCAGTAGACTTATTTCTGAGAGATGGTGATTCGTGAATCACAGCGCTGTTGACCGGCGTCCCTGTTGTGTAAGCATTATATATTACATGTGGCATGAATGTGTTAAGTCTGAAATTGGCACAATACTGGAATAAAGTTCAAATACAAATGGTTTGTCAATTTATTGTATTGATTGTGCTAGAAGTTGGGTTTTTTCAACACCTTGAACATTACTGAGCTTAAAAATGTTTACAATATTTGAAATCAACTACTACTACTTCAATAGGTTGACGGAGAGGAAAACAGTAAAATATACATCATAGACTGATTATACACATTAGGCTCTAATACTGAGTTATTGAATAAACATGATATCGCTAAATTCTTATTGTTTTGATGTCTTAAATATCATTTTACAAAACATTACCTTGCATTATTGAGCCATCTAATGATTGCAACTTCGTCATGTTCTTTCCAGTTTTTTAGTTTAGTAAAGTTAGATTTTTTCCACTGCCCGGAAGATCCATCAAGTTTAGAAAGAATCACCTCTGGAACGTTGTCCAAAAGCAACAATCGAGATAAGTAGAATGCTAATGCTTCAGCTGTTAAGACAATACGAAACAAAATGTATTCTAAGCAAATAAACTTCTAAAATCAAGTAATTTTCTGATAGATATTGACAGAATTCGATAGCAAAAATTGAGCCTACATTCAAAATATATAATAAAAAGCTAGACAAAACTAGAAAGTAATGAAGAGCAGCAAATGTTTGATCGTTTAATATTAAACCCTCGTAACCTTGATGCCAACATAGATAAGTTGAGTATCAAAATATTCTTTTATTCGGGGGGACTTTTATGAGATGAGACGTCAAGGGAATTGCCAAATTACATTTAAAATGATATCTGAATGTTCCTAGTTTAAATAGAATGTCGGGCTTCGAATACTTTGAAAATTCATGAAATTGTGTAAACTTTATGGAAAGTTATACAAAACTTGTGTTAATTTGTGATACTTGTCTTCAACACACTTTTAACAATTTTACAAAGAAACAATTGTAAGTAATTTCTCCTTTGACGGGGAATAAATTAATTTACAATTATTACCATATATTAATTGAGTTGGTCTATGTTTGGCACACACTTTAATTCCATCTTCAAGTGTGATAATGCCATTTTCTCTGCCACACATTGTCTTATTCGCTAGTTCTATTTTCACAACACGTTTATGTCGCAATTTCTTTACTATATACATTCTGTCTTGTAATTCTGAAATAATTATATTATAATTAAAATGTATACGAGTCAAAAACGCGTTTGCCAAAAGCAAAACTGCAAAACTAAATCACAAACATGGTGTTGGTGGTGGTATTTTTCCCTCCAGATCACGCCAGTAAGCCACATTGAATTTCCCAGAGCACAGTTCAGCCACCGCATCGTTCCTGGGCAGGCTGTCAAGCAGTTTACCAGTACCAGTTGCCTTCTTTTTCGCATAGAACTGAAACTTCTGTTCATACCGGAGCAGAGGTACAGTGCGAATGACCGTAGAAAAGATTTCACAATCAATCAGAATGAAAGTGACCTGCGCCGTCAGGGAATCGAACCGTGTCGCCCGATTCAGAGTCCAACGCTCTACCTATTTAGCTAACCGGACGGCTCCACTTTTTAATGGCCTTGTTATATCAATAAACAAACAAAAACCTCAAGGAATATACTGTATATATCTGTATTTCTATCTTTTGCCTTGCTTGCTTTATATCTGTGTTATGTCAAGTTGTTTCCCTTTTTGTCTTCCTCGCTGTATATCTATGATATGTTCATCTATCTCTCCTGTTGTCTTCCTCGCTGTATATCCACGTAATGTCCATATGTCTCTCTTTTTGTCTTTCTCGCTATATATCTATATATGTTATGTCCATCTGTCTTTCTTTTGTCTTCCTTGCTGTAAATCCACGTTATGTCCATCTGTCTCTCTTTTTTCATCCTCGCTGTATATCCACGTTATGTCAATATGTCTCCCTTTTTGTTTTTCTCTCTATATATCTGTGTTATGTCCATCTATCTCTCATTTGTCTTCCTCGCTGTAAATCCATGTTATGTCCATCTGTCTCTCTTTTTGTCTTCCTCGCTATATATCTATGTTATGCCCATCCGTCTCTCTCTTTTTGTATTCCTCGCTGTAAATCCATGTTACGAGGGGAAGTCAGAAAATATCCGGACTTTTGACTCGTTCTCGAAAACCATTCAACATTTTAAAAAAAATCTTTCTACTCTTTTTAAAAATATTCTCCACCTACGTCTACGTATTTTTGCCATCTTCGTGGGAGCTTTTGTATTCCCCCTGTGAACAATGATGTAGACCTATTGTAATTTTGCCGCGTTTGGCTTTCTTTAGGGATTCTTATTTCACTCTATTTTATCGCCACATCAGCGTTGTTTGTGCCGTGTGGAGGCTGTAAAAAGTCGCCCCGTACATTCAGTCAGGGATGTTATATTTCCGATCCTTAAAGATCGTTCAGCTTGACATTATTGTTGTGCTTGTGGTATTTTAGTTCTATCTATTCGGTATCTTTCGTGTTGGGTGGTTCCAATATTCCTCACACTTGAATAGTGTTGAAACACCCTTAGGATATGAGGCCTGCTTTTTAAATTTGTCTTTTGACGTTATATCTGTGATATGCAGGCTTCATAACCTCAGATTCCCTTTTAAAATTCCATTTTATTTAGTTTCGCCCATTGTTTTCTCGTTTAGGGCACACTCATTTTTTTTACTTGGGGACCATATGCCGCTTTTCATGGAATGGCACGAACGTGTCACATTGAAGGTTCCATGTTAACCGCCATATAAACACATCTGCGGATGTTTCAAAATTCTAAATTTTGCGAGTTCATGTTAAATATTGAATTTTGCTTAAGCCGGTGCTAGGGGGCGTGGACGGTAGTTTGCACTTGACAGTACCGTTCATGAACAAGCTCAATCAAACCGAGCCTGCAACATTTTCAATTTTGCCGCGTTGGGCTTTCTTTAGGGATTCTTATTTCACTCTATTCTATGTTTAGGTACTGTGTAACAGCAGATATCAAAGTAGCCCTGGTCTTATATTTCTTTCCAGCAAGCAATTTTTACAGTTCTGGAAACAAATAAAAGTCACAGGGGGCGAGGACTGGGCTATAAGGAGGGTGAAACAACAATTGCCATTTGTAAGAATTGATAACCTCCACTGTAGCTGCGGTGGTATGTGAGGGGGCGTTATCGTGAAGAAGGAGGACAATTGTCTGTGCTAACCTGGGACGCATTTGATTCAGCTTGTCTCTGAGATTTTTCAGAATTACTTCAGAATAGTACTTGGCGGTGAAAGTTTGGCCTTGGCATAAAATGAGTAAGTGTCATTCCTCGTGAATCCCAAAAGGCAACATACATGACTTTGCCAGCCGAAGGCGACAGCTTAAACTTTTTAGGAGGTGGGGAACCAGCTCGTTTCCACTGCCTTGACTGAGCTTTTGTCTCAGGTTCGGAATGATGAGCCCCACATCTCATCTCCAGTGATAATACGGTTCAAAAACTTATCTCCTTCACGATTAAAACGACTTAAATGTTCTTTTGCATTGGTTACTCTGGTTGCCTTTTGATCTACGGACAGCTGTCTAGGCACCCACCTGGCACTTACCTTGCTCATGCCTAGGTGTTAGTGTAAAATCTTGTGTGACGATGCCTGACCGATGCGAAACCTGTTGGCTACCTCCTTCAAAGTTACTTGGCGATTTTTGTTGACAAAAGCTTTAGCATTTGCTACCATTGTTGGGGTCACCGCCTCAGCTGGCCGCCCAGTCCTAGGCCTGTTACAAACACTTGTTCCGCCTTCACAAAACTGAGAAACCCAGTTGTAGAAGGTTGAACGTGATACACATTTATCAGAAAATCTTTTTTAAGCCTCTGAAAGATGTGGCAGGGCTTTTCACCTTCTGCAACCAGAAACTTTATTACAGAGCGTTGTTCCTCTAACAAATAGTCCATGATAAACGAAACACCTATCATATATCAGAGGGCAAAATACTGTGTTTACACAACTATCATTGAAAATAAACTGACCACGTTATTGGCGAATGAATGTAGTTTTCACCAATATATAATGTGTGTATATAGCTGCACGTGGAAAGAGAGGAGCATGAAAAGTCCGGATATTTTCTGACCGTCCCTCGTATGTCCATCCGTCTCTCTTTTTGTCTTTCTCGCTATATATCTATGTTATGTCCATCTGTCTCTCTTTTGTCTACCTCGCTGTAAATCCTTGTTATGCAAAATAAAACGCTTCAAAAACATACTTATCTTAAAAGAATGTGTGTTCAAAGTGAAGTTTAAAGTTTGGACCATGTTAGAATGTATTGGTTGAGTAACAGATTGCCTATGTTCACAAGTTATAGGTATTTATCTATGGCAGTTTTAGAAGTTATTCCATGTAGTATGTACTATTGTAGAATAAATGCAGATAAGTTGGGTATAAGTGGATTGAAATATTCAAATTGACTCCTTACAATTAAAATCTGTTTTTAAAAATAAATCGTGAGAAAATCGTAAAGTTATTAATTGAAGAGGACCACAGAACAAAACGTGTCAGATGACCCAGAGAGGAAGGACTACCATTATCAATTTTGCTGTTTTGGACTTTCTTTAGGGATTTTTATTTTCTCTATTTTATATACACGGCTGATGTCAATTTTCTAAGAAATCTTACTTTTTTTCTCAAAAAGAAGTATTCCTGACATGTTATATGACCGTATATAAACGGTTGTTTGCCAAGCGGCTCGGGAAATTTTTCCAAACTACCGTTTATATAGGGTAATATTACCTGTCAACAAATTCTATAACTAATGATATATTTTAAATTCGTGTTGCATTCAGAGAAAAAAAACGTAACATTTAAAAAAGAAATATTTTGATACAAATGACTAATAACTTCATTAGAACCAAAACACGTTGTGTATCATATCAATTAAAAAAACTGCGCGTTCCGCTCCATTTTCTTTCTGATTTTACGAAAATATGTAGGGTTATTTTTAATTTTGATATACCCTGGGTAGCTTGTACGGTTACGGGTAGTGCAAAGGAAAAGTGTACTACTTTTCATAATGATTTACAACCTTATTGAATAATAAGTAGTTTAACGTAAGAAACACATTGATAATAACAAAAGTTATCACAAGGATGCAAGACCATCTTCAGAGTTATCACAACAACTCCGGGCCATATGAAAAGTCGGGTATAAGTTTATAAGCTGGGGCATTATGTTTGCAACTTGGCATTTTAAATATGTTATCATGTATGGCAATGATAAAGACCAGAAATAAACTGGTCAATACGTGCGAATTGTGGAATAATTTAATAATTTTACTCAAAACTACCAGATTTTAAACAAGAGGCGATGAAAAATGGCCTCTGAATACGTTTTTGACACATAATACAATGTGTAAGGCAGAGTAATCATTAAAGTTAATTTAGCACCTACAACTTACTTTTTAAGGATGAAAATTACCATTTTTGAAGAGTGTTTTTGTAGTATAAAAAAAGTTTTCCGACGAACTCCGTGACAGGTATCACAAGAATTCCTGACAAGTTATCACAAAAACTACATCCTCCGTGTAACAGTTCCTCCCCCATGATACAACAAGAAATATATACATACATATAATACCATGTAATACGTAATCGTTCAGAACATAAAATTCCTTTCATCGTTGGTTTGTGTACTCAACACTAAACAGAAAGCTATCTTACCTTTCGGAACGAATGATTCTGCAAAATCAGACCAAAATATCCCGTCCTGTATTAAATCTGTATTAATGCTTTTATCTTTTCCAGATTCAGATGTAGTGGAAACATTCAACGAAACAGATGTGTTTAGTTTTTCACCAACTATCTTAAATTTAAACTGCGATAAATCTGAATTTCTTTCGAAGTCATATTTTCTTTTAAAATTTGTCAAAAATAAAACAAGCACACAAAGGAAAGGAAAAATAAATCTCCAAAACATTTTTATTTATTTATTTTAATGTAGTTTTAACATCGCAAAAAATATTCCATTTTTGAAAAATAAGAAGAGAGAAGAGATGCCCATAACTATACGTATGTCTTGTAAATGTAAAAAAAATATGTGTGAAATTGTAACAGCTGTTTGAGATACATTCCGGAATAAAAATTTAACATTTAACTTATATTTTTTGGATATGCTTGTTAGTACACATGTACGTATATATAGACTTCTGAATTTATCGTGATTTTTGCCAGTGAAGCAGTGGGAAAAGTTAAATATGATAGATATGTAAACTACTCGTAATACTTCTCGTAAATGAGTAATCTTTTGTACAGAAGTAATAATATCTGTCATATGTTGCGGTTCAGATCGCAATATCTGTGCCGAGGAGAACCGCCCATTGGGCGGTATCAAGACTTGCCGAGGGACGGATATTCCGATCCGAATCGAAACATATGTCAGATGTTTTTGTTGCATATTCTACCATATTTCATCATATTTAAAATTCTTTACCCTATTAAACAATTTTATGGACATTTGTCATTAAACCCGTACTTTTGCTCGAACAACAGCGTATGAAAGTTACAACTTCATCTATAACAGCGAAATAACGTCATCCTAAGCGTGCCATTGTATAGCACGAAACTCGTCTGCCTACCGCCATGCCAGATTAAATATCCGGCATGGGTATAACTAATGAAAACGCCAGTCTGATATGCAATAAATGTTGTGTACCAATTAGAATTTCAGATTCTATATATATGTAAACCAAACCAATTTTATAAAATGTGATTTTGAAAAAAGTCATGGATTTTAAAATATCCGTTGTTTTGTTTTAACATCCAGCTTAATTTCATTTATAACGTTACTCTGATTTGTTTGAACTATAGTAGATTCGTTTATAATATCATTGAAGCTATCTGCAAGAACGAAGTTATAATATTTTATAGAAAAAACGAAAAAGGTAGATAACATGATAGCATGTTAAAACAATATGTTAATCGCTTTGTACTTTTTCTAAAATAGGTGAATTATTTTTTTCTAAAATAGGTCAATCAATACACAGATGTCTATTTTCACAAGAAAGAAAACAATTCGACTACTGGCACCAGTTCAAATTAATCGAACCAAAACAGCTGTGCCTTTTAAAAGTGTTACTGGACTTACAGACCAGGGTGCCGTTTTATCAACGGTCGTACGCCCGGTCGTAGCTAAGATTTGGTCGTACGATCTTACGGCTACGTCGCGTTTTATCAACATGGTCGTAGCTAAGACGTCTTAGATTAACGTCGTAACTTTAAGGCTGCTTCAGACCAGTCGTAAGTAGGCTAAAGATCTTAAAAATGAAGGCCATTTTTGCATAATTCCCGATAGGAACTTTCAAACATAAAAATATGAACAATTGAAGTTTTCAACTAACGTAGGTTTTCCGCGTACATGTTTATGTACAGTGCTGATCCCATTTTAACATCCCAGGGACGCAACTATCACTTTCAGTTTAATCTCTGTATAATTTCCACGAAGAAACTATGGTTAGTTATATTACTTTCATTTTAGTACAACCGACGTATATAATATTATGTGTGTTTAATATAACTCCTGTCACAGCTGTAGCTAGATAAGCAAATAATTCTTACAACATTCTAAACCGTTTCCTACTTTTCTTTTCGAAATATTTTAGTACAGAAATTTCGAACAGTGCAGATTTCGGACAGAACATAGATCTAACAATTGTCAATAACAATTGTGTTAATTGTCAAGCTATTAAACCAATTTGATTGTTATAATTAGTTAAGTATGTTCTTTTGTAGACCTTTCAATGAAGTTGCTACAGTATCTTGGTGAAAGACAAGTGTTAATAATGTGAAATCAACATGGCAACATTTGTTAACCTACAGTACAGTGCTGTAATGGGAATGCAAATGAAACTGCAGCACTGTTGTTTGGTAAAGCATGTACATGTATGCGAAATGAGCATCTTTAGATCCAATTTGGTGAATCACATGAAAAGAGGATTGTAAAGAAAGCACATGTAACTTGTGCAGACAGTTGAGTTTGAAATATAGACAGTTTTAGAGTTCACTTACCCCTCTTTCTATGAAATTTGATTAAAGCACTAGACCTCCCTTTTTGGTTATGTGTTGTTATGTGCTTTACACAAATTAGGGTGGAACATGTGAAATGCAATCAATTATGGTGATTAAAATATTCATTGTTTTAACACATTTCTTGTTATTATAATAAGTATGGACCAAATCAAAATAGAGATATTACTTTTCCCCTAATATATTTACATGTGTATGATATTAATGATAATCAATTGAGTACATTATATTTTTTTCTAAAATATAATTATCACATTAAAACTTCAAAATAAGTTTGACTATTTAAAATAACTTATTTTGTATTAGTCATTTAAAGTGGGTGACCTACTATCTTAGATATGAGATATCTCTTTCACCCCTCATTTGTTCTAACATTGATACTGGGAAATACATGTATGTCCCAGATTGACAGTACATTGATAGTTATGTTGAAAATCACACACTATTTTTTATCAACAATTATATAGCAGATTTTTCTTTATTTTTGTGTCACATTGATACTTTAAATTGTCTTTCGTGTAATGTTTCAGAAAATGGTGTAATATACTTAAGTTCTATGTTGCAAGTTAACTTGACAGTGTTAAAAATATTGAAAATTGCCTTGAGTTAAACATTTTATGAAAAAGAAATACTAAAAAAGAAGAAAATTAACAAACAAAAGTTTTATTTGTTGATGAAATATTTATTCTAGAAATGATCAGGGATGATGGGTGAAGTGTCTTCAGAGGTTAAGTGTTTTTCCACATTTAAACAGATACTATTGTAATATAGTGTAGTAATGTTAGATTTGTGGAAATCATTATCATATTAACTCATAGGTTTGTTAAAGTTTATGTAGATATTATCCTAGTAGGCTTCTTTTCAGGCATCACTTGATTTTCTTTTATACATGTTCATGCTATATAGAGTCTATGAAATTGTAGCTGAATTTTTATCTGATTTTCCTTACAGATATAAGGCAGCGTGAATAGTTAGTACTTGGTGCATCTGCTGATTAATGTGTTTGTAACAGAGGACATTAACAATGATGAGGCTGTATATCACCAGGGTCAGTAGTGACAAACTTATTTTAGAAACAGTATTATAAAAGTAAAATTACCTTACACTGTCAGAAAACTGACAGTTATAGAGGAATATCAAAAAAATTCAACAGTAAGAACCTTTTTAAAAGCTCAATGACTGTGACTGACAAATATTATTACAAAGACATACAGAATTATTGAATAAAAACTATTAACATTTAGTTATAAGGATTTCGTTTGAATGATACATTTTAATATTTATCTGTTCTTGACATTTCATATGAGAATATTGTATCAAATAACAACTTTTATTATTTGATTTTAAGTCAGATTATTCTCTGTAATGTTTCAGACTACTGCTTAATTATGGACGGTTTACAGCTAAACAATCCTATGGTTGGAATCAATATCCAGGGACAGCTCTCCTTTTAAGGGGCCAAGTGTTGTGACCTTGTTATATGGCCAAAAAGGACATAAAAGTTCTAAAGATAGCTAAGAACAAAGTTATATAGACTATTAAACATTTCATCAATTTATATTGAATAAAGTACATTATGTATAATTTAATAACTTTGTTACTACATGCACATGAATAAAAATAACACTTAAGTGTGGTCACAAAGGGACAGTCAGTGATCTACAATTATTACCCTGAATGCATGTAAGAAGCTTGATGTGAATGCTTTTTTTATTAATGATTAATGAAAACATAAATATTATCAAACGTTAAGGTCTTTAAGTTGTTTCTGAATGTATACCTTGGATGGTACATGTTTGTACTGACTGTATATTCACTTTTCTTAAGTGTCAAAACTATAGCTATTTATGTATGTCAAAATCAAATATTTATATTTCTTGAAGTGATAACTTGACTCATTCTCTTGAATATTATTATGAAATGTTTGATTCATGTTCAAAACTTGAAAGGAATACACAGCAAAATGATCTTCTTCTCTGTATTCAATTTGATTAAAGTGACTTTACAAAAACAAAGATTTTTGTGTTACAATTCATCTGAAAGTAAAATGACATGAGATAAATCAATCAATGTAACATATGTGTTTATATTGATATTTATTGATTTATTGTTACTTGAATGCATTAAAAATTGTTGGGATGAATATTAAAAACACAAAGAAAATAACACAAAAGGGACAATAATGAAAATAAACAATCTTAATGTAAAGCTGTGAAACTTTCTACAGAATTCCCTGAAAGTGACATTTTATATTTAATGTGCTAAATTTATTGTACCCTGTGTCTGTTAAAACATATTGTTAGCTCACCTGTCACAAAGTGACAGGGTGAGCTTTTGTGGTCGGTTTTCGTCCGGCGTCCGTACGTCGTCTGTCCGTAAACTTTTACTTTAATGACATCTCCTCATAAACCGCTCAACCAATTTCATCCAAACTTCACAGGAATGTTCCTTTGGTGGTCACCTTTAAAAATTGTTCAAAGAATTTAATTCCATGCAGAACTCTGGTTGCCATGGTAACCGAAAGAAAAAACTTCAAATATCTTCTTTTAAAAACCCCAAAGAGCTAGAGCTTAAATATTTGGCATGAAACATCTTCAAGTGAGTGTCTACCAAGTTTGTTCAAATAAACGCCCTGGGGTCATTGATTTTCCCTATATGCATATGGTAAAAACTTAAAAAAATCTTCTTTTAAAGAACTCAAAGAGCTAGAGCTAAGATATTTAGCATGAAACATGTTCTAATGGGTGTCTACCAAGTTTGTTCAAATAAAAGCCCTGGGGTCAAAATTGGCCCCGCCCCGGGGGTCATTTATTTTCCTTATATGTGTATAGCAAAAACTTAAAAATCTTCTTTGATAAAACCCAAATAGCTACAGTTTAGATATTAAGCACGAAGCATCTTCTAGTAAGTGTCAACAAAGTTTGTTCAAATAAAAGCCCTTGGGTCAAAACTGGCCCCGCCCGAGGGGGATATTTTTTTAACTATATGTGTATAGTTAAAACTTAAAAAATCTTCTTTAAAAAAAAACAATGAGCTAGAGCTTAGATGTTAAGCATGAAACATTTTCTTATAGGTGTCTACCAAGTTTGTACAAATTAAAGCCCTTGGGTTAAAATTGGCCCTGCCGGGGTTTTTCATTATATGTGTGTAGTAAAAACTTAACATCATGAAACATCTTCTAATGGGTGTCTTCCAAGTTTGTTCAAATAAAAGCCTTGGGATTTAAACTGGCCTCGCTCCGGGGGGGCCTATATACAGGTGAGCGACCTCAGGGCCATCATGGCCCTCTTGTTTTTATACTGTTATCTAGTTTTAAGATTGTTTCTAGCAGATATGTACATCATTTCTAAACAGGTATTATTAAAAATTGATGTGAATTAGAAAAGGTTGTAACATGTTATTTCAATGTCATAATTTTCTGTGCAATATGTATTCATTGTCATACTGGAATAATAATAAAAGAGTTTGTAACATTCTAACACTTACTGTTCTGTAAATACTTTTACAAATAAGCAAGCTATATTATTTTTAACTTTTCCTTAATCTTAGCTGAAGCTGCTAAGAACAACTCTTCTAATGTTTGCAGATGTTGTTTAGCATTTTACCTCAGAGCCCTGTACAATTTTTTTATTCAAGCTGTGCCTCCTATAACTTATTCAATGTCATGCAAGCACATACATGTTGAACCGTGATGGATGTCTCTGTATTCAAGCATCAACAGCGCTTTGTTTGAAGTAAAAAATCTTAAAACACTAGCTATGCTTTGGAAGCCTTTTGCTTTACTCACACAGTTAGGACAAGATACTTTACAGTTGACAGATCATAATGATGTATACTATCACGTTCTTTGACTTTTATTCAGAATATTCTTAGAATACAGGGATGTAAGGGATATATTTACATAGTCAGTGGTGATATTTAATTGTATCCTTAGCCGTTCTTAGGATGACCAGAATGACGATTCCGCTTTCATTAGAAATAATGTGCCTAACATGCAGAAGGGATTTAAAGATTTTGACATCGTCTAGAACATGTTTTGTAGACGGATTTATGTCCTCCTTTTTGATGCATCTCTATATTTTGATCCGCAAATAAGTATCTATTTGTCTTTATCAATGATTTACTGGATTTTTTTTAGCTTACCTGAGCATGCTCAGGGTGAGCTTTTAGAATCGATGATTGTCCGTCGTCCGTCGTCCGTTCACATTTAGTTGTTAACACTCTAGCGGTCGCATTTTTGCCTCACTCATCATCAAACTTGGTCAGGATGCTTATCTAGTTGATAGCTCAGATGAGTTCGAACATGGGTCATCTCGAATGAAAAACTAAGTTACAAGAGCTAAAAATAGAAAAACCTTGTTAACACTCTAGAGGTCACATTTTTGCCTCAATCATCATCAAACTTGGTCAGGATGTTTGTCTAGGTTATAGCTCGGATGAGTTCGAACAAGGGTCATCTCGGATGACACAGTAGGTCACCGGAGCTAAAAATAGAACCCTTTCACTGCCATATGGACGGCTTAAGCCGTCCCTGTTATTTTCTGCGTATTTGCCATATGGACGGCTTTAGCCGTTTCTATAATAATAATAGTAATAATATTCAATTAATAATAATAATAATAAAAATAATAAATATAATGAAAATTATACCATCGACGATAATTATTATTATACTAACAATTTTGGAAACATATATAATTGTTATAATACTAATAACAAATAATAATAATTATATTAATTAATAATATAGTAATTTCTGAGAAAATCCTCTGGCAAATAGGTGAACAATAAAACAATAACCCTCTGGCAGCGAAAGGGATAACACTCTAGCGGTCGCATTTTTGCATCAATCATCATCAAACTTGGTCAGGATGCTTGTCTAGGTGATAGCTCAGATGAGTTCGAACAAGGGTTATCTCGGATGGAAAACTAGGTCAGCGGAGCTAAAAATAAAAAAACCTTGTTAACACTCCAGCGGTCACATTTTTGCTTCAATCATTATCAAACTTGGTCAGGATGCTTATCTAGTTGAAAGCTCGGATGAGTTCGAACATGGGTCAACTCAGATGAAAAAAGTAGGTCATCGGAGCTAAAAATAGAAAAACCTTGTTAACACTCTACCCAGCAGGCACATCAACGTTGTTTCAACGTTGAATTATGGTCATATTTCAACGTTGAAATAAGGTTGGATTTATATTCGGATTTGAAAGTTGAAACAACGTTGAAATTTCAACGTTGATACAACGTTGCAGCTTCAACGTCGGTACAACGTTGAAGTTTCAATGTCATTTCAACGTTGAAAACCCACCATACTTTAATTTTTGGATATAAAGCAAGTTACCAAGTTTAACAAAATATCAAGACAATATTAAATACTTCAGATATTTTATTTAAAAAATACAGTTCAAGTGCAGCTTAAATTACTTTAATAGTTTTAACAATTAAGCTACAATCTGTTCCAATCTTTTCTTCTAGTTCTTTATGGATATGTCAGGTGTTTGAGTACTTTTTGGCTGTCTCTTACTGCTTCTGCAAATAAAAATAAGAAGTTGTTGACTTGGTCAATCTCAAATTATACATATAATTACTCAACTTAGTGATTTGTTTTTATCTTAAAATGCTTTTCTCTAAGATTTACATCATAAAACAGCATAGAAATTGAAACATAGCTAAGTTTCATATTGACAGCAAATACTGTATATAAGACAACAAAATCTTTTTAAAAAGAAGCTATTTAAAAGTCTCACCTATGATTGGTAAGAAAAACTGCTCCCCGTCAGTTCCTTGCAGCATATTCCCAAGAAATTAACATTCTATCTCACAGGCTAGCAGCCGCTCTAATAGTTAATAAAAAGGTATTCGTCTAATTCTACCCTTGCTTTACGGTTATGGAGAGACTTGGTAGAAGTAATTCATAATGGCTTAATATATACGAGGGGTTATCCAAACATTCGTAGACTTTTTAAATATCTCTTGAACGTCAACGTGTATTGTAATGAAATTCTATCAGCATACCTTGTAGATTATTATTAACACATTTTGAAAGGAACAATTAACTGCGTCAATAAATAATGATTTTGTTTTGCTTTTTCATTAGCACATATACGGCAGCCGGCGCATGGTGGAAAAGCGCCGTTAGTCATCGAAATTAGTAATTAACGTAGAAAACCCGCCAAACATTGCATGTTTCTTCTATGTCGTCATTTAAGTAATTCTTTAAAATAATGGTCGTCCTTTTCGTTAATTTTTGTTTATATCGCTAGAATCGCTATTTGTTTACAACTTGAATTTTTTTTATTTATTCTTCTAAGCAGTGTAAGAATTCTAAATCAATATCTCAAACATATTTTACGCAATAAAGAAAGTCCACGAATTTTAGGGATAACCCCTCGTACGTGTATATAAATTGTAGTTACTTAAAAATTATTTTTTATTACTCTTACTCACCAAAATATTAAATGTTACATGTTAATAATCGGCTTGTCACACAAATTATGGAAATTAAATAACACTTATTTATGAGGCCTGATATGGGGTACCGAAATTATCAAGAGAAGTAGTTCCCGTACATAAGAGATAATTATTATAATTATCCATATAATTAACCAGATTCTTCTTAAAATATCGTTTTTGGAAAAATCATATTCATAGATATTTTCCAATCAGTCGTGTTTCATCAAAATTCGACGACTTGCATATTGTTTGGGACTTCAACATTTAATCAGGAGAACATAGCAATAGTATGTAAACTAAATATATGTACTCTGTTTTTTTGAAATCTTGCTTTTACAGTAATTGTCTGTTTTAAGAATTACAGTTGTTGCAATTTATCAAAGAGTCTAACAATGGACATGATAGAACCTGGGGCATATAATGAAAAATTCAAAGACAGAAGAGAACAGATTTTACATAAGAACATATAATGCAAAAACAATTTAAAAATTTTGTATATAAGTACTCAATTTTTTCAAAACACATTCATGACAGTTTCCAAAGTAAATTGTTTTGTGATTAATTCATATTATTGATATATAATTGATATTATATATTAATCGAAATAGTGATTGATACTGTTTGATAATTCAAACACTCTGTTGCGGAGGTAAAATGTTTTATTTATTGATTTATTTATTGATTTATTCGTTCATTCATTCGTCCGTTCACTTGCTCCCTCCCTGCCTCCCTCACTCCCTCACTTACTCACTCACTCACTCACTTATTCAATTAATTATTCATTCATTATTTAATTTTACCCATGAAATATGGTCCTATATCAGTAAAATATATTTCATATTTTTTAACAAAAATAAATGAAATATAAATATGAAAGTGGGCGGAGTCAAAACTCATATTTAATTTCAGGGACTTCTTTCGTCATTTTGTTTGAAAAATCTGATAAATACAAAACAACTTTTTGTTGACTTTTGTTTTGAAAACTATCTAGAATGATAGAAAATGGTCTAACTAAGAAAATAAATTCGAACACCAATAGCTTTAATTCAGTCATTAACGCTGTACAGACGTTTAAAGAGTTGTTTACGTGACGTCATTATGAAGCGCTAAATTTCGCGTGCAAAACAAGACAATAATTATAATACTGCGCGCTGTACAAATGCAGTTGCGTAGCAAGCAAGGGTGTTCGTAACCATTTTTCTTTGATGGTGAAATTAAATAAAAATGTTATTTTTTCGTTTTTCCTGAAATATGGAATATATTTTCACGAAACATGATAAAATGTCACATATTTTCACACGCCGTCCCTGCTCGTGAAAACATGTGGCATTTTATCATGTTTCGTGAAAATATAGAGATTCAATATTTCAGGAAAAATTTATTGATATATTATTTGTGTAATATATCACAGATATATTTAGCTCCATGAATGTATGCACATTTCTGAGGGCTTCTTAAGCATTTTTGATTATAATTAAGATAATTACCGATTTAGAAAACTCTTTTATCATTTGAATTCAGAAGTTTCATCAACGTTTTGTCTAGGAATAATTATCAATATATATAATTATGTAAAATAATCGTTTATGGATACATGATCATTCCAATTTAATAACATGGGACAATTGAAACGATGAATGCTTTATTAAACAGACGGTATCAAGGCATTATATCATGTGTTTTCAAAACAACCAATGAGGTAAAGCGTGAGTTTTGTACCACGTGCTCTGATTCAACCAATCAGAAATAGCGCGGGTGGAATGAAAAAAATGGCATGAATAGTAACAGGATACCATGGAAAATAAAAGGTAGGCAAAGGATTTTCCGTTAATATATCAACATGCATCAATTAAGTAACTGTATTTTGTGAAGAATAGTTCATTTCAGATTAAAACCGATTGGATTAACCTGGTTTGTTATCAAACATGGCCGCCAGATTAGATTAAGCAGAGATGCAAACATCCCTGGGACAAAATTTAATGACCAGATGCAGGTCACGTGTAGTTGTTCTATTCTAAATTTCACCATATCCTTCTTAAACACAATTTCATTAAAATAAAAAGCAACATGAAAACACATTACAATTGGTAACAAATTCCTTAATGATGTTTTCAAATCACTTTGTCATAATTATACAAGAACAGAAATTAATCTAACATTTGACAAACAACATAAGATAGGTACAATAATACTCTTGGTGCTTAGCAAATTTTGAGTTGTATATTTATAAATCAAGAACTACACGTGACCTCCTAAAAAAGTATATTTCAGAATATTTTTTTTTATTTACATTACCTCACGGAGCTTTTATTTTATTATATAATAAGTATCTGAGTTATGAACAGTACAGGGAATTACTTGTGGAAAGAAAGGAAGAAAAAAAAACAACATTGTTTTAGAAGGTGAAAGGTTGTTTTATCACATCAAATATGCATTTTCTAATATTTCACCTACGAAAAAGTTTTTCATCACCACATAACTAACACTTTCGCACACGTAATAAATTATGAAATATTACCAATGTCCTCCTTGTGCTTAAGTTTTATTATCGATGCTGTACGTGTTTTCTTTCGAATTAATAGTAAATCCTTTATATGAATTGTATATAGTTTAAAGTGACTTATAGGTCCAGCGTAGCCAGGTGTTGTTATTTGTTATATGTAGTATGTTTCTTATATTGTACATAACACAATGTCACTCTATAAAATTTACTTACTTTACTTTAGGGCAGTGTAATGGTGTTCTGAGATCCATGGATATGTTGTATGTCAGAAATGCAGCTGTGGTCTCTTTACTGCAATTGTAGATGAAACTGAGTATGATAACAAGTTATATACGTGTGAGTTCATGTTTCCTTTCATTAAATAAAGGATATAAAATTGTTGTATTTTTTAATATAAGATAACAAAGGAATCACGGACAAATGTCTTTAAATATACGTTGGTTTTTTAAAGCGGGGCTCTGTCGAGTAACAGCTAGTGAGTTACCCAGGGTCAGATATTTCCTTCCGTACTGACAACCAGTGTTTGATTCTTTCTCTTGTATATCTTATTAGAATTAATGCTTACTATGCTTAATGATGTAATATTTCATAAACTGACGTCAAATAAGAGATTTCCCGGCACATTTGAAAATGCTAGGAAAACCTATGTAATATATGCAAGAATCGAACACAATAAAAGAAACGTATTTTGCGGTGTTTAATGCTTCCGATGGATCACTTTTTTCAGATATTGATACAATATATGTGCCCTTATTCTATTCAATTATCTTTCCTTCCTAAAACATACAACTATATTTAACTGATATGTAAATTTATACAGTTGAATCACTTTGTGATATGTTGATGATAATATTTTTGCCTTGTAATTTACGCTTTTGTTTCCCGTTTTTTAAATCAATATGAGGCTGCCAGAAATTTAATGACAAACTATTAATGAAACGGCAAACAAAGAGGACAAGGATCAAGCGACCGAGGTTAAGTACCGACATACTGTTGTTTTTTGTTGTTGTTTGTTTCATGCTGATTGCTATAAAGGGGACACGAAAATTGTTACATGCACTTCAGCTAAACGAATAAGGAACCAAACATTTAGCGTGACCAGGTAATTGTTTCAAGTGCACACGTAATACTATCCCACTCGCATGTGATATGATGAATAAAATATTTCCTATGTCCCTTTATGCAATCGTTAATTTAAAGAACGACAGTGCGGTGGTGACAATACAACAGTACGATGGTGAAGCACCAACACGATGGTCACGAGTGTCACCATCATACTGTCACCATCGTACTGTCACCATCGTACTGTCGTATTGTCACCATCGTACTGTCGTATTATCACCACCGTACTGTGGTATTGTCACCACCGTACTGTCACCATCGTACTGTCGTATTGTCACCATCGTACTTTCGTATTGTCACCATCGTTCTGTCGTATTTTCACCACCGTACTGTCGTATTGTCACCACCGTACTGTCAAAACGATGGTGAGAGTACGACAGTACGATGGTGACAGTGCGACAGTACGATGATGACAATACAATGGCGAGAGAACTACAGTACGATGGTGACAATACGACAGTACGATGGTGACAATAAGATGGTGAGAGTACGACAGTACGATGGTGACAATACGATGGTGAGAGAACTACAGTACGATGGTGACAATATGACAGTACGATGATGACAATAAGATGGTGAGAGAACTACAGTACGATGGTGACAATACGACAGTACGATGGTGACAATAAGATGGTGAGAGTACTACAGTACGATGGTGACAGTACGATGGTGAGAGTACGACAGTACGATGGTGACAATACGATGGTGAGAGTACGACAGTACGATGGAGACAATACGACAGTACGATGGTGACAATACGATGGTGAGAGTACGACAGTTCGATGGAGACAATACGACAGTACGATGGTGACAATGCGATGGTAAGAGTACGACAGTACGATGGTGACAATACAACAGTTCGATGGTGAAAATACGATGATGAGAGTACGACAGTACGATGGTGACAATACGACAGTACGATGGAGTGCCACCTGATACATACTGAACTCCAATGTTTATGTATATTACTGATCATTCGTAATGTGGATACAGATTGTTTTTATTAGTATTGTTAAAACCTATTTGCACAATAAATTTGTGCTAATGACTCCTCCATTACCTGATGTTATATTAGAATGTAAACACGAAGAATTCATAACCTTTAAAAATAAGGTGTAACATTAATGGCTCATAAAAATCATTGTTAGGATAAAAAGAAAAGAACTCCAAGTCGGTATAGTTAAACGATATGCGGTGGCAATACTTGAAAATGACGAACTATTTATTTTAGATATATATTATGACCATTGACGGAAAGTCCGCTGTACGTGGGTTCTGAACCGCGCTACGTCTGCATGACGCTGCAGCATAACATACCGATATATCGCCATATATTTTCACCTCTTAATTTGTCCTTCTAAAGGCATGCTTGCATTTAATGTATGACAGTAAATGTTGTAGCGTAGGCATTATTATTTTGTATAATATATGCATACATATTGTTTATATGTTTATGAATGAATAAAAACTGTATATTTAAAATACGGTTATGTATATCCACTGTATATCTATAGTATAATAGAGAAAAGAGTGAGACTAAAAAAAGGATTGGAGCACCACACTAAATACCGTATTCCGGTAATATACCGGACAAGGCGCTTGAATGATAAAATACTAAAATCTTGCTTTTTCACCCAAGAGAATGAACTTTAAAACGTTTAATTCATCTTTTACATCGATTTATGTCTGATAAGTAATGAAAAATGTAAAAATCGGCGAAAAAAAACGATATTTGTCTATTTTGTGATCATGATTTTTTCAAGCGTCTACGGGTAATGCTCCAATCCTCAGTTTCAGTTTTTATTAAACCAAGGCATATAATATGCAACTGGTTATAACAACAAACAAACAGAAAAATAACAGTCAAAAATCACTTTTATCACAAAAAAAAAGAATACAATTATGACTAGCTAAATAAACAAATAAGGAGATCATATTGCTCATTTCAAGTACTGAATTCAATACAACATGTATTTTATATTGTAACAAATGGGAACGGAGAATGAGAAGTTTTTGTTATCTAAATTTTAACATAATGTTTTTACAAATAAATATGATTTTAGTAGAATCTTTTTATCACAACTATTCATTAATGTATTGGGGTGAATGTTAAACCTGGGAAGTAGAGATTTACGTCTAATGTCCTGTATTGAGTTAAATTCTAGAGAAAATGGCATTGATAAAAGCCGCAAAACGGGATTTTTATCTCCGTATACTACAAAAATACGATTAAATATACATACATGTATATGGAATAAATACGGAATTCGTACATGCCTGGTCCATATACGGAGTTCTCGTATACCCAGGGTTCCCTTTACGGACTCTTATACCTGGTTTGTATGTTAGACAAATAAATTCCGTACACGCCAGTATATATTAAAAATACGATACCGTATATTTCCGTATATTAGTGTATTTTTTGAAGTGCAATTACTACGTCAAGTGGTGCAATTTATAATTTCCGAAATGAGGAATATCAAGTTATATGTTTAAGTCAGCAACCTTAAGTTTTGACACCAGATCAATTTGCAATTTTTTTATGTGAAATGCTGTAAAGGTTGATTTTTGATGAAAATTAAAATAACACAAATTGCCAAGTTAATTGTAATCGTATATTGGTGATTTCTGGAAACAATTTTTTTCTGGGTTGCAAATTCAAAACCTCAACGTTCATGCTTTTGTCGTGTTTATTTTGTTGCATACCGTTACAAGCACCATATATTGAACAATAAAAATTGGCAAAATATTCTGAAGCATACACTTCACCCAACATAACAAAAACATATGCCAATAATGTTTTTTTTTTTTTTTGTTGTTACCAATATTTACTTTATTTATATCAAAGTTGGTCAAAAAAATCTTACAGACAATGGTCAGTTTTAATTTCGATAATATAAGATAGTATGTATATTAAATACTTAATTCAAAAATAAATTAAAAACAAAACCAGTTTTAATCAAATCAAACTTATTTATTCAATCAGTGCATTAAGCCCTAAATGAATATGTTAGGCAAATTCTGATACAGCGAGCACTGATAAGCATTTTATCATTAAACATGCACGTCAATCGCATGTCATAGACAAATTTTAAAAAAAAACTCGAATTTACCCGGTGTCATATTTGTTTTTAACATTCAGTATAAGCGACAGCTTGATGGATCAAAACAATAATTATAATCTACTAAACAAATCAATGCCAAGACAATTATTGCACGTTTATATGGAACTAACTTTTAGAGAAGTTAGCTATGTATCAAGCTTATCACAGTTGCTACACATTCGATTCTTATGTAAACCGTATACAAGGTATAATACAATAGCACGTGAAATTATTTATGTTTATATTCAGTGAAGTAATAGAAACAGTATTGATGCCTGCTTTGATATAATGGACAATATGTTGATCCGGTTGCAAAGGTAGCAGTTTGTTGTATTTAAATAATCCAAAATGTTTGATTGTAGAATAAATGTAATTACTAGCAATTTGTTTATAATATTAAATTCCTTCTTTTTCTTTTTTAGAATGTTTTTCTTGATATCGTATGCTCTCATGATATTATGTATGACAATAACCTTTGTCGAGACAATTTGGAAAAACTTATCATTTCTTAAATATAAAGTCAGAGAAAAATCAGATACGCAAAGCGGCTGGTAAGTTAACTTTTTTCTTGAAACTTTTGAAGTTGTATGAGTTATGTGATTAGTTTCATTTACATGATAAAAAAGATGGAAATTGACCAGCTTCATACTTTTTTATTGCACTTATCGCAACAGTCAATTTGCAAATGTTAAATTGGCCTTGGTTACTTCAAGGTTTCTTATATATATATATATCGGCTCAAAACAAATATTAAGACATTTACTTTGAATATAAAGGAATACTCTTACTAAGTATGTTTTGCTCCGTTCCGAAAGCGGAAAAGAGAAGAGTATTTATATTATTGTAATGTATACGCTATATTCACGTTCTAATATACCCTTTATTGTAAACACTTAATTTTGCTTTCATTAAAGGACTGAAAAAATTAAAAGTATTCAAAACGAAGTGTATAAAGAATTTAATGTGCAAGATCTGCTTGCATCTCAATGTCAGGACCATTTACTAGCAGCAGACCCATCTAAATCAACAATTGAAATAAAAGGTTAGTGTTATTTATGCATGTTTTTTATGAATATTATCCTGGTAGTATTATTATACATTATTTGCAATGAAGGTAATTTCAGAGATCTCATAATTTATATTTAGCAAAAGTAAGTTTTATAAAATCCATACGACAATGGGTAAACTTAAGAATGATTTGTTGATATCGTCTAAAAGTTATTTGTCACACAATAGATTTTTGTTGCTTACTTAGTTGACGACTTGGTTTTTTGTACATTTTCATTTGATGACGTTATAGAATGTGAATTACAACTAATAAGGCATGGAGAAGCATTCATATAAGCATCGATGAATCAGTATAATGGGGTTTTATTTATATTTCCTCAGAAAATAAATAGAAGCTCACAAAAGAAAGATCGGAATATACATGAACAAGTTTCATGTTTCCTCTGTTAAATAATAAGAGAAGTATATAATGATGATAGTGCATAACCCTAAAAAAGGTACTTGATCATTTTGCATAACAGTTTGTCAGCTTTGTTTTGTTCTTACAAGAACCTTTAAACGCAGTCCTTGTTGATTTTGTAATAGAGTCATGGTAATATTATAAACGGATCTCATATTAGATGACGTTTCATAAAAAGTTAAGATAATTTACTGATACTTTTCATGAAATCCATTGATGAATTATATCAAGTTCATTATTGAAATAATTAGGCCACACTAGGTATTTTAGGGACACTCGAGTAAGTATTTCAGTTATATAGAAAATTTTAAAACTAATAGTTAACCTTATATAATGTATATACATAGACCAACATTTACAATTGTGTAATATTATATTTTAAGAACATCATTTTATTTATCCTTACACAGATTTTATGAAAATGAAATGTCACTTTTTAAGTTACAAATTTGTCTTCATCCATTTTAGAATAAATAGAACAAAAGCATTTAAAGGTAAGGAGTTTATTGTGACCTTCGGTCCTGATTATAATAAGGACAAAGAGTTTATACGTTGTATTCCGTCTGATATTCCGTCTTAGATGGAAAGGAGGTAATCGTTAAAGATAATTATTCACTTAAGACGAATCATTTGTGAACGAAGGAAACCCAAACATAATAATCATATCTCAGTTATATTTTTGAATTTGATAGACTTAATTAGACATATTTTATTAAAACTTCAGTCATCCGATGAACCTCAAAGTTAAAGAACAATAATTGATATTTACGAACTTTTTTCCCTTTGGCTGGTTTTGTATTATTAACACATGGTGCTACTTTCATCTCAACTCCATTTAATATATTAAGGGGTATAGAAGCTCTTTAGTATCTTATTTTATCAGATACTTTTCCTTTATATTACTTTTTCGAAGAAGTCGTTCATTGTTAAGCAATACAAAAGCTGAAGATAAGCTGCTGTCAAACTACATATAACTGACACATCATGTGTTGGCAGACAACTTACCCAATTGAAAAAGAAATACCTGACATTATCGTTTTGTGACGTTAGTCGAGTTTAAGCTATGAGCAAAATAACACTTAAGCTAATACTTTTGTGGAGAGTGTCTGTAAGTAATCTGACTTTTCCCTGCTAAACTTATACAATTAAGGGGCATCTGTGTCACTTGTGTTCAGGTCATTGACTTACAATTACCTACCCTTCATTGCGGAATACTGGCATGAGCATATTGAATGTCGGCGATTCAACTCAAACGCCCTTTCGTGCTTGGATATGCATGGAGGTTCACTTGATTGCAATGTAAAACAAAAGCAAAACAATATTACATGTGATTGACTTGCAATAGTGTCAAAATAACATCAAATCATACAAAAGACAATACTTGTTTGTAATCTTAAGATTTAAGTCTTTTCTCTTATGGATTTAAATTTAGGTTTTATTTCACACGTCCTACCTTGTGTAAGTTTTGATCCAGAAACGGACACAAAAGTAATTATTTTAGCTTGAAGTTTTCCGTACGAGTAACCTCAATTAACGTTTGGTGTATTTTTCGGGACAGAGTCGAAGTAAACAAAAAAGAAACAAGTTTTACGTTTCTGCTCATAAAGAACAGCTTATTCATTTTGACTGAGTGTTGTGAAAACTTTTAATAGCATATTTGTTATTTAATTTTACAACCAACTTTAACAAATTGACTCAGGGAAATAAAAATATTTTACAATATTCTTCGGCAAAGTGGAATCATTAAACCTTAAGCCATTCCAAAGAGTGCAATTGTTCACAAATTTGCTTAAGATAAGGGTGTATTGCATTAGAAATCAAGGTTTCAATTTTGGCAAAACTGAATTTCTCGGAGGCAGTTAATTTCCGTCTAATTGCCATTGGTCTTTCAACGCTGATTTAAACAATCATGTAAGATTATTAGATGGTCACTAGCGTAGAAATTTGTAATTATTGGTTAGTTATCCTGCATAGCCTCTGTTGGATAGACCACCAAAATATGACAAAACGTGACAAACAAAACAAAGGAATACAAACAAATAGGTATGTCCGCGCAAGATTATTACATAACATTTTCAAACAATAACTTCAACCTGTTTTAGACAGATCCTGCATTTGCTATAAGCCTTAATTGTAACTAGATTGTTTTCAAGCAAACTGAATTATCCGTAAACTTTACAAATAGCATTTTCAGTTGGAATTTATGTGCACATTTTATTCTTCGAAATAACTTGTATTACAAAAATTCTCATTTAAAATTTGCACTCTTTCAGAACAACACAAAATTGCGGTCGGCGATAGCATTGATATTAAATTAATAATGTTTGATGGTTACGGAAACATGAAAACAAAGGGCGGGGACTATCTTAGAACAAGACTTTATAATGATAATTTAAAAGCTTATGCCAATGGAGAGGTACTAGATCATAAAAATGGATCGTATACAATTAGGCACAACGCACTATGGGCAGGACAAGCTAAAGTTGAAATAGAGTTATTATATCCAAAAGAGATTCTTTCAGCAATGATTCGCAGAAGACATCATTGGGTAATATGTTATAAAACATGAATGTGCAAATAAAAGTATTAATGACAAAAGAGTAAAACGAATTACTTGAGACCTGTTCTTACTGTACTAAGTGTAAATTAGTTAAATGCTAAATTTTTCATATGCCATTTTTAATAAAAATATCTGATTTTCTATAGTTAACAATAGATGTCCAGAATGTTTAATTAAGCTAAAAACATCAGTTATTGAGTTCAGCCTTTAAGATATATAAAAATAAGCATGTTTACTATATAGATACGTCTTAATATGATGGTTATATCATTTTCTTGCTTTCTTTAGGGATTCTGTTTTTCTCTATTTTGTTAATTTAGTGATTATATTTGTTTAATTTTACAGCATTTTAAAGATATACGTGCAATATTCGAATCTTTTAATACATCCGAATCAGCGCAATGTCATTCAGACAAGTACGTATTTGAAAGAGACAAAAAAGGTTCAGATTTGTGCAATTTTTCTTATTGGAATAAAACAATGCCTTGGTATTGTCTGAAACCTGTCGACAGAACTTTGTCGTGTAATGACTTAAAGAAATACGAACGTAATTGGGTTGGCTATTTAGAAGGCCTTAATGAATGTGAACTTCGTCTTGTAAAAAGGTAAATATTATAGAATGTTATGGAATATCATGTATATTCCTTTTTCCTTTTATCCTTGGGAACGAAAGATGTTTTTAGATAGTTTATCGATTTATACTGGTGAAACGCATATATAAAATCCAGATTTTTGCCAATGGAAATATCCTTGCTCTTGCTGTGCTTCTTATATCTGCTAAATTGCATTTTTATTGACATGCAGCGCTTCTATGACTTGCCACAATTTCTTAACTAGCTACTAAACTACCGCGTTTCTTAAAGGTATTGCACAGTTTTGACTTGCTGTACTTCTTGGACTGCAATTTACGGTGTTGCTTAATTGTGTAAAGCGGACCCTTTTAAATCCATGTTTTATATTTGAACGCTAATCACCTGCAAGAATTGCGTTGATACCGGACATGATACTTGCTCTTAGACTTACATTTGTCCTTGAAAGCAGACCTCCTTTAAGGCTAGCGGACAACTGCTTGACTGAATTTTGTAACAAGTAGGCAGACCTTCTCTAAGACTTCCTCCACTCAGAAGCAGACCTCCTTCCAAACGTGCTTTCTTTCTTGAAAGACAGACCTTTTTGCCACATTTGAACCAATCTTTCACTTCATCATGCGCATCCTTTTTATCGGTAGTCATATTCCGTCGCTCTGGTGTTTCGCCTTTGTCACCCGTTAAAAGCACATTTGAGGATTATGTCTTTAACTATGTGCATCTGCAAAATATCATGGCTTGCTCATTGACTACGATCTGCTTCAAGACCATGTCTACATCAATAAAGAAACATTGAATTGAGTGCTCTCATTCTAAAGTCCAAACTAATCGTTGCTTAAAACGACCGTCTGTCTTGTGCCGTCCTCGTCTTTCATGAGTAATATTCCATCGCATTTGTGTTTCACCTTTGTCAGTCGTTGAAAATACCTTGATATTTTTGAAAATTATGTCTACCATCATATGCCTCTGCAAAATAACATTGCTTTGCTAATTAACTACGGTCGTGCATGACCTTTTGCAGTCTCTGCTTCAAAAACATGTCTACGTCATTAAAGAAACATTGATTTGAATGCATTCCATCTCCTGTCTCTTATCTATATAGGCTTTATTATATTTTTGCTTAGTATCTATTTCCTGAATAGCTTAATAGGTACAGGAATGATAATTTTAGGTCGTGGGTTCGATACTTACTCTTGTCACTTTTATTTCTAACAATTTTGTTTATTTGATGTTTTTATAATTTTTCATTCATCTTCTTTCAAGAAAATTATTTTCATGTTCATTCTGGAATATAATTTCTCTGAGTAGTTTACTATTCTATTATATACTATTTGTGTGCTATGGTACTGCTTGTTAACAAAGGGATAAGTTAGTTTTGATTCGATTGTGTAATTATGTGTGGGAAGTGTTTTTTCGCTTCCTAGACATAATGCACCATTTGGGACTTGCTGCTACTTCTAGCATTGCTGCTTTCTTAAGACCTCTTATACTTACAAGACCAGTCTGGCTGTCTGGACTTCTTGCGTTGTCTCAACTTGGTGCTCTGTTGGCATTGCTACGCTTTTAAGACTTGCTTTGTGCTTCGTGATTTTGCTTGTGAGGGAAAAACTCTTATACTTTTTAATTTATTTTTTTTTGCATATAAAAAAACACAAGCTCTTTTGTGTTTTTTTCTGTATGGAAACATAGTTTTACACAATAATGAAATTACCTTATAAAGAAATGATTTTTCAATTTCTTATAATTAAATGCTTTCAATGTATTTTTGATATTTATTTTTCTTTTCTCAAAATATGTATAGAACCGCTATGAAACTATAAAAAAAATTTACGTCATGTCAAAATATTGACGTTGCGGTGATTTTTACCTACTGACTACGGGTGAACCGTTTGAGAACTAGTAATCGTGTTAGCAATAAATATATTGTAAATAAAGGTTTATCTTAATGTGATAAAATACCTTTCATCTGAATCGTAATGTTTGATTTATTCTGCACATTCAGTTTACGAAATATTTATGCTTACACAGAAGAAAAATATAAATGAAAAATTCAACTTAAAAAGTAAAACAAAGGTATTGTACTTAATTGATTTTTCTGATGATTTTGTTAAAACCTCATAAAACAAATCAACACTAATGTAACAGTGCAACAACAACAAAAACAAACAAAAACAAACGCTTAGCGCACTATTGAATGTTTCAATATTGGTTTGATTCAGTTGGTTTGATTCAGCATTTGAATAGACGGCTTTTGAAAAACCAAACTACTGAAAACAAACTAATCGCCTGGTAACGCAGCAACATTTGAGCATGTATATTGTGGTTTTATTTTTAAAAAATGTCTTTCAAATGTGTATCAATGTGGAACTAGATGATATGGATCAAACATTTTTACGCAGGCAACATGTCGTAAGGGTATTCAATCAGTTTTCAACAAGGTATGCCATTAAATTAAGAATACCGAAAATAACCAAAAACTTGGAGCTGAACGACATCAAAGAATTACAAATAAATATTGATTGAAATCATTTCAGTAAGTTTTTCTCACATAATATGTTCAATCTATTAATGATTTATTGTCTCTAGTTATTTGCTACAAATTTGTATCCTGTGATAGTCATAGCCACCCGACTGTTTATTTGTAACAACCAGTTTGCAAGTCAGAAAATATTAAGATTGACGGAAATCACTTGCAACATGTTTTACGCGCAACCTGTGCTGCAAGATCGATTTACTTTAGTTATTCTAAAAACACACAAACACCTAGAATGTTAAGCCTAAACAAACAAAACATTAACATATTTTCAACAAAATACTTGGATGGGATAAAGATGAACGTAAAAGAGCTTTCTGAATGCCAAAGTTAGGCATGTCAGCCTTAGATGTTGCTCGGTGTTGCAATCCAATAAATCGACAATATCACGCCCTATGAACACATTTCTGTGAACTTGCCCAGATGTTGTAGATCTCGTATAATGTCACAACGTTTAATGAATAAGATGCAGACAGACAAGGCGTGTACGAGCTAAAAAAAAGTACAAGAACAAAGATCAACAAGGCAAAGTGATGTTTATAAATGCAGCCTCTGAATGGCTCAATGAAGGCACAGTAGTCATCGAGATTGACCAGCCTGTTGATGTACATTTTTCATCGTATCACCGTATCTTTCAAACTAATTTCATATCTATCACTTCAACGTCCGTGATCTTAAACGAACAATTCTAGATACAAATACCAGGATTTCTCTGCTAGTAATTAGGATGTTCATAAGTAGCAAATCTTTGCGATTCATGGTGGTTTCACTAAATAATGAAGTGACAAGGTTTCCCACATCCGAGTCTTTGGACTTTTCATTTAGAATTTATGCTGCAAATTATGAATTAATATACACATATCAGTGTTGATAAAAAGTTATTATTTTATTTTTCTTATTTGAACCTTTTCTTAACCTGGAATAATACATTTATGATCTTTTTAAGTATTTACTTATGTAAATAAATATTTACAAAATTGATTGTACTGTAGAAATCTAAAGTCTCCAAACTGCAAGATCAGTTATTTTTCAGGAAGAAATGCATTCAAAAGACGTCTTGCAATTAACATTCCATTGCGTCATAAAGTCATTTTCAGTCACAAAATCATTTGTTTATATTATATCATTTTGAATCGATGCATATTTTCATATCTCTTGGACGAAACATATTCATTTTTAAAGAATCATTTAAGGTATGTTTAGGTATATTTCCATATATTGTAAACAAATTCCAATATTTATAGGAACAATAAACCTTCAAGATTTGATAGAGCATAGTATACAAAATATACATACGTTTCTACATCAGCTTTTTAATTCAAATAAATAAAACATGAATCGTTTTTTTGCTGCGCAAACACTTTAATTTATCTTCATTTTATTATTCAATTCAAATATTACTTTTGATTTATCACAGCGATTGCTATATAAGTGAACATTTATGCGTAAAAATGCGGAAATATTTGTGATAATATAATTTCTTGAATCAATACAGTTTTTGGGATATTATTAATCAAGCAAGTACATATTAATAATATGCCGTTATTGTAATCGTTCTATTAAGTTGTTTATACCTTTATTATTTATATAATTGTCTGAAAATACATTTTTAGTTTTATAATTGACCTGATCACACATTCATTTGTGATATTTTGAAACATTCCTTTGTTATATAAATTACCTATTGTGTTGTCAACACTTATATTGTTTCATCAAAACATTTGTGATTTTCTTAAACAAAACTTAAACAAACAGCAATGAGAAAATTTTATCTCAGTATCCAAATAGTCAAACTTATTCATGTAAGAATCTGTATAATAAAAACGTGTTTTCAAAAAGGTTTGGCAGAAGCGATCGATCGATCGATAGATAGATAGATAGATAGATAGATAGATAGATAGAGAGAGAGAGAGAGAGAGAGAGAGAGAGAGAGAGAGAGACAGACAGACAGACAGACAGACAGACAGACAGACAGACAGACAGACAGATAGATAGATTTATTTCGGCATAAAGGCAAACAAACATTTGCGAAAAAATATCAATTCGCAAATATCATAAATATTTCGACGTAGCAAAATTAACAACTTATTCTGAGTATAATTTTTTTTTATAAAATAACAACGAAAATTAAACTGTTTTAGGGCAGTAAAATATATAAATTTTTAACTCAAGGGATCAGTATAGAGTAGGAGATATAATTAATATAAGAGTTGAAGCATCCAAAAGGGCTCACAAGCAACCAAACGATGAAATGCAACCTTGTCATACTTACAATCGAAGCAAACTATGGTTCATGAAACAATCAACAGGTTACTTTCACCAAGGAAAGTGGATACTAACACATTGTGAAGGTAATATGTTATGCCAATATAGTTTACCAGTAAGCATTTTTGTTGTCTTTATCAGAGATTTCTGTGAACTTTTACGCAAAATTGTTACAAAAAAGGGAACAATAACTCACCTTTTAAATTTCCAATAAAATAATTTGAGTGTTACCCTGTATGGTCGCACATTTTGTAGTGAAAACATGGAAAATATTATATTCACAACAACTAAATAATGACCAAATATAAAATGTCAGCAGATTAATAATTACAAGGTTAAAGTACAATATACATGTGTTCGCGCATTTTTGATATTATTCGGGCGTAAAAATATGCTTTTAATCAAATTTTAAGCCATTGTGTTTAACTGTAGCTTATGAAAGCACATAATTTTATTCATTAATTTACAAGAAAATATGAATCACTTAAACAAAAATACCGCTTCTTTCATTTTTCTATCACTTTACTTATTATTTGCAAATATATTAATACATTTATAGTGTTCTACATTTGTCTCTACAGGAAAAATAAGAAATGTAGGAGAATGTCTTCGAAATACAACTGTCTACCTATGGGGAGATTCAACAAGTTTGCAGTGGTTAGCTTACCTGCAATCCTCAAATCTATCTTTAGGTTGTACACTTAAACGCATGTCTGGCGAACGATGGCACACAAGATATGAAGCATATTGCTTACAATATAATATATGGATTATTTATATACCTCACAATATACCAGCTGTTGCTGGTGGGGTATCAAATATGAGTAGCTACTTTTCAAAAACGTTACCTGAACAAGTAAAGGATTTCAAAAATACAAGCAAACGTATAGTTATACTTCACATTTATTCACATTTACAAATAGAACGTATTCAATTTTTCATAGCAAATGTTCTTGCGTTGCGGTATTATTTAGAAAAATTAGAAAAAATGGACCAAACTAAAATTCTCATAAAATTACCTTATACACATCGTGACGAAGGAATTAACGGATGGACAATCAGACAACCTGACTACATTGGTTTTTTATATGAATCTATTATACGAAAGGCGTTTACGGGAATGCACCATTTTGTCATTGCTCTAAATAACAAAGATATAACAATCTCAACGAAAAATATTAAACTTCATCCTGAAAACATTGTTATAACGGCTATGGTAGAACAATTTTTATATTATGTATGTTAGGTTTTATATTGATATATAATCTTTAGATTCCTTACCGTAGGCTTTTTATTACTTGGAGACCATACGCCGCGTTTCATGGAATGGCAAGAAAGTGACACATTGAAGGTTCCATGATAACCGCCGTATGAACACATCTGCGGATGTTTCTAAATTCAAAATTTTAATATTTCATGTTTAAATGTTGAATTTTGCTTTAGCCGGTGCTAGGGGGTGTGGACGGTAACTTGCACTTTCCAATACCGTCCATGAACAGGCTCAATCAAACCGATCTTGCAACATTTTCAATTTTGTCGTGTTGGGCTTTCTTTAGGGATTCTGTATTTATCTATTTTTTCATTTGACTGTTCGCCGGTATTATTTAATCGCTTGAGACAAATTCTAGACACCTACAAATTATATTTTAGGCTTATTGACTGAGTCTTTTAGCATAATATTTTGTTGATTTATATTAGATTAAAAAATATGATCATGTGTTCTTAAACAATATAATAATTTTATTTATTTGGTATATTAAGGACTTTATATAAGGGGTCTAGAAATAGTATTTGCTATTAAAATAATGAATACTATAAGTGAGTCCTTTGATGTTCTATTTAATCCGAAATATTATTCTGGGTATTTGTTTTTCAACACAAGAATGAGATAATTTGTTCGTTTAAAACATTACACCTACAATCATATAGCTACTCGTAGAAATGGGCGAGTTATTTTATGTTACCAATAAATGACAAGCTGAGGTGAGTTATTTTAAAAGACTAACTACCTTTAAGGTCGAAATCCATGATATTTTCCATTCACGGGACTGTTATCATATGAATGAAAACAAATATGACAAGATGAAAAGCTTTATTATTATTACTTGGACACTAAACATTTACTCTTGGATGGTCCCTTAACGATAACGCCACAAAGGCTATTGTCATTCCTCAAGATGTAAATAATTTTACCATGTCAGTATAAAAAACAACATAAGATCAAAGTCTTGAAACGGTCCTTTAAGATGTTTTTTTGTATTTACTGCAAAACGTTTTTGATATAAACATGCTTTGTCGCAGAACCAAGTTTTTATGCCAATAATAAACAAATTTAAGACGTGTGCACAGGGAATTACTATGTATCGTACGTATTTACGATCTAGGTTAAAATGTCCTCAAAAGTATGATGAAAAAAGTTCTGGAATAAGGTTAAAATTTCTTAAAAATGAAGAAACATGGAAAACATTTATACATTTGTACGTACTATTTTAGCTTTCACTCACAATATATATAGTTAAAATATAATAGCAAACCTATGATTAATCTATTAGACTTCATACCTCTACTGGTTTTGCAATATCTTCAGGAGGAATATGAGTAAAGTAACATAAAAAAACGTTATTGACGTCACCGTTAACAAAATAAAAGGATAGTCTGTTTAAGTGCTTTATTGTAATAGTAATGTCTGTTTTAGTATGATGATAATACTGCTACAGTGCGATGATGGCTGTGTTAAGATTCTATCGACAGCGAATAATACGATGATGACAGTGGTATAGTACGATGATGACAGTGTTATGATACTGTTGACGGTGGTATAGTACGGGCATGACAGTGGTATAGTACGATGATGACAGTGTTGTAGTATGCTGTTGACAGTGCTACAGTGCGATCATGACAGTGCTTCGGTACGATGATGACAATGCTATAGTTCGATGATGACAGTGATAAAGTACACATATGACAGTGTTATAGTGCGATGGTGACAGTGCTTCACACTTATTGGCCTAATTACCGTACAATGATAACAGTACCACAGTACTCAGTTTTATCATAAACATCACTTGAGGAACTAATTACCCTCTCGAGTCACATAAATATTTAAATATATAAAACAAGAAGGTGACAGTTATTTTATATTCAGGTAGTGTTTTATTGCCATAAATAAAGTCATTTTTTTAACTATATGATAATCTCATCTTGAAGTGACAAAATAAGTATGACAGTTAAATTTAAGTGGAAAGAACTAGTTTCGCAATCTGCTTGAATAGATATGTTTAAACAAAGTAGAATGATGACAGGACTACAGTACGCCAGTCTTCCTCCACTAAGTTGCGATATGACTTTTAAACTGTTGTTGCGACGATATACCCAAACCAAGATCAAAACAAATAAAAGATTCATTGATGACAGTTAGCCATCGTTCTGTCGCGTTTTATGTATCTGAGATAGATAATGCAATAACCCTAAAAAGTGTTTAACTTAATTCAAAATAAAATACAAAACATAAAATTTCAAGATTCGATGGAGCATAGTATACAAAATATACATACGTTTCTACATCAGCTTTTTACACATATTTTTGGTCAAATCTCGCTCCACCTTACCGGTTGTCATGTATAAATAACCAATTTCCTCACAAATGACAGTTTTCTTAACCTATATGATATCAAATATTAGCTAAAGTGTACAAAAATTAATGAAAACTATAATACATAGAGGATATTGCCACTGGTAAGCAAAATAGTATTTCATGCAACAAGATCAGTTACTTCAGTAATGAACCTACAGGAATATAATATTCTAATTATCTCATACCCTCTCCCCGTCCTTCGTTTAAAGGACAAAATAATCATTTTTCATTGACCCTAGTGTAACGCTAACATTAAAAACATTTAAAATATGTATTCATCATTGTTTTGGTTTATTTAATTAATTGAAAGGTATTATAACAAAATTCTACGACAGACACTCATAATTAATAAGAAAGCGTTTATATTTATATTTAAAGAATTTTAGTGAGGTATTTGATTTTATACTTTAATTATTTCCTTTGCATATTGTATTCTTCATCATTCGATAATGTAGAATACTTTGTATACTTGATGTCACGGTACCGCTATTGAAAGAAGTTTGAGTTCATTGAGGTATAGGCTTCAAAAAGAAATCTTAGTAAAAACTTATTTAAAAACCCCCGATTTATTTAACTATTCCGAATAGTGTGTCATTGTCATTGTTTATACTGATCTTATGAAATAGTTGTCAAAACATGTAAATAAAATTAGTTATTAAACAGAGCTGACCAGAGCAGTTGTTGACAATTAATTTTAGATAGATCTTAAAATGTCTTATTTAAAAGTTAAACGCATAGCAACCTACATTTAACCGTTTTTAATTAACCTTTTACCACATATAGACGTGTTTTGACGGCTGCCTCCCCCATTTTTAGGCCTCAAACAGTGAAAAATGCCAGTTTAGGCTTAAAACACTGTTTTTTGTTTGAGAAATGCTGTTAAAAAGTGATCACCATCAAAATGGTACACCAAGAGGTTACCAGAAGGGGGATCTGTCCCCTTCTGTTTAGGGGGTTTAAAAGGGGCAGCAGTCCCCCTTATCGCCAAGAAAATTTTGGACATGTGATAGGCTAAAAATAGCCTCAGGTTGAATTTAGGGTAACTTATAACCAACCCTGAAAAGCCTTTAACTCTATCTCAATTCATTGAAAAATTGAAGTACTTTGAAATAAATTTTGTAGAAAAAAAACCCAATGCAAAATAGTGATTGTTGTCGCAATTTTGAGACGTCCCCCGTTGCCATGGTAACAGGAAATTTACAATTGAGCATGCTGTTACAGAGGCTATGGTCCAGTTAACATTTTTGCCAAGTTTTATTAGTATTGAAGCATTTTTCATAGTTTCATAGCAGTTGGAACTTGTAACAGGAGGTTTTTTTATATGAAAACGGCCATTTTTCACAATATTCTCATACGGTAAAAAGTTAAAACATCAAATGCACAAACCTTTAAATACAAATTACTCTTCAAAATGCATAAACAAAGGCAGCAAACAATTTGTATAACACATAACTTACAATACATTATTCACAACTTTTGATAATACTGGTCAAAAGTATGAAAAAAAAAACATTTTTTTTTATAAAACGTGAATGCCCCGACATGCTGTATACAGTTTTATAACATACATACATATACGCCTATATGAATCTACAGCTCCTGAAAATATTTTCGTTTAGAGCCGAGGGATTCGGATTTATTTCAGTACTTTAAAGTTGGTGCACTGTAGTCATTTAATTTGCATATCGACCGATGCATTTATTTACAATAAAATAGTCTAATACCGAAATAAGGGAGAGCAGACTAAATATACAATCCTATAAAGTGTTTTAGGCCTAAATATTTTCCATGCTGAGTAATCTGGAAACATATCATACTTTATAAACTTCGATTCCGATTTAGAATTGCAAATGCAAATAAACACGTTTGTTTTCATGTCAACATCATTTCGTGTTTCTCTGCAAATTGTTTCTCAAATTCACCTCTGCTCATTTCCGACATAAAATCTTGAGCGAGCTTGCATCTGTTTCCCTTCAACTTTTTCGACCAGGCTACGCTTTCGCTAAGATCATATGGCACTGTTTCCGTATTTTTACGGAACTCGGAGAACTACTTTCGTTATACGGTTTGAAAAAATAAGACGATTTACCAATTGGTCATATAGTACATTTATGTATTTCACAAATGATTATTCATAGGCTATACGTTCAGTATTATCTCTGTGGGGAGAGGGAGAGATCTTTACTTTAAATGAAGTGACACAAACTTCGAATAGTAGTTGTCTCAAGCACCATTGTCAATTTCTGTACAGGAAATAACTTGTAGACTTGTAACCCATCAAGACGACAATATAAAGGTTGTTCAAACTTTTGATATTCCCATATTTATCAAAATTTGTGCAATGGCAATTAAACATGAAATATTAACTTTAAAATAAGTGTTTCTGATTTTTCAGGTGGCCAGAAAAAAATCCTGTACACAATGTTAAATGTATTGACTATACTTGATGTGATAGTATTATGCTAAAACCTTTACCTTTTTCCTATATTATTCTGCATTTAAATGGTTGTATCACTATTTTTTTTTTGCAAGATTGCATATACTCTGTTAGGAAATACAAAATTAAAAAAAATGAATATTTCTTATTTCATACAAGAGTTAAGAGAGGTAAACGACTGTGAGAAATATCAAAACTGATAGAATGTTCAGGGTAAATCTAGGCATTTGTTTATAATACACATATTTGCTAAGAAGAGATTGGTACGGTGGAATAAAGGTGACATATGTGCTTTTAGTTATCTCATGCGCACGAGATACTATGTCGTGGCCGCGAGTTACTAAAATAGAGAAATACAGAATCCCTAAAGAAAGCCCAACACGACAAAATTGAAAATGTTGCAGGCTCGGTTTGATTGAGCATGTTCATGGACGGTAATGGAAAGTGCAAGTTACCGTCCACGCCCCCTAGCACCGGCTTAAGCAGAATTCAACATTTAAAGACGAAATAGTACTAAGTCGTGCCCACGAGATAAATAAGTCGTGCGCACGAGATACTATGTCGTTGCCACGAGCTACTAAGTCGTGCTCATGAGATTATTAAGTGGTGCGCACGGGATTCTATGTTGTGGCTTCGAATTACTAAGTCGTGGCCACGAGTTACTTAATCGTGCGCCCGAGATAATCAAGTGGTGCACACGAGATACTTGTCGTGGCCACAAGTTACTTAAATTACTATTGATACAATAAACCCCTGTCATAGATATTTTAGTCTGTTAGTCAATGATAATATTGTCATATTTTTAATACGAATGAACGACTTTTTTTTAGGACAAAACAAAAATATGAAAGTTTCTGTCGGACCTCATTGAAGCCATGTTGGACCACATTTGTAACAAATTACATTCACAACATTTGTTTTATAAATAACAGGTGATATGTTGTAACTGTGTTTGTCAGAAATGGTTGGCTGACTGTATAAGTACAGCCGTAAATAAATGATTCAGTTTGCTATGTCGCTGGTTCGAATCTGTTATATTGTCTCACTTCCGGTTCTCTGTAACTTCGTGAATCTCCATGACCCTGTTCTGTATAAATGTCTTCAACTCCCGATTAGTTGCTAACCAATGAAGAACTATTTGGCTGTCAGACCAAAGGTAGACTGAATGTGCTGGTATAGACTTTAACACATGACTTGTTAGACGGGCTCCAATAACTGCAGCCATAAGTTCGAGTTTCGATAGTGTCAATTGCTTAAATGGTGAAACACGAGTTTTCGACATGACCAATGCAGACTGATCCATAGGCTTGTAGACTTGCATCGCAAAATACATGAAGGGGAGTTGTATCATCTGCTAGTTCTGTCTGGTTCCCTGGTTCCGGTTACCGGAAGTGATTTTTATGTCTGATTTATCAAAGTAGTATCTTTGAAAATTTTTCGTAATTGAACCATTGATATCTTCTGCTATATTCTGCCACTGTGTCTGTATGGCTTCCGGAGTGGTGCGTCCCATTCGTAATTTTCTTTCCATATGACTTGCAGTAGCAGCTAACCTCTTATCGTTATTGGGCTGAACCCAAGAGGATCATACAATTTCGCCGTTTCTTGGAGTATGGTGCGTTTTGTCATCGGATTGAGCCTATTTAAAGATTTCTGGTTCAAAAATATCTGGTCATTAATAGCATCCCATCTCATGCCTAGAATCTTCGTAATTTCGTCTGAATTATGTATGTCGTCTGCTTTGGAAAGCGTGCGCAAATGACAGCTGTTTGAATTCCAGGAACGCAGATTAAAGCCAGCAGATGACATCAGGTCTCTTGTATCATGATAATATTTAATAATCGTGTTTTCATCCGGAAAACTAGAGATAACATTGTCTACATATAAATCTTTTTTTCAGTATTTCACTCACCCATTTGTTGTTGTTGTTATCAAGGTGCTTCATAAGTGTAGTTTGTAGGATAAACGGTGAAGATGTAGCTCCAAAGAGTATGGATTTGAACCTGTAAGTTACCACATTACTATCTGGATTGGTACTGTCACTTAACCATAGGAATCGGGTGTCGTCACGATCTCTTTCGTCAAGTTGCACGTGCAGGAATGCCTTCTCAATGTCTGTCGAGGCAGCAATCTGTGTAAGCGAAATCTCATAAGTATATTGGTTAAGTCTTTTAATTCTGGGGGTGTTGATTCTAAACAATCGTTCAGACTAGGGAAATCTTTATTCTAGCGGCAGCTACAGTCATAGACTATTCGGATTGGGGTGGTGGCTGAATCTTTTTTCACACCGTGATGTAGGATATAGTGAACTCTTTTATCTTTATTGCCGTCTGTAACTCTCTCGATAAAGCCTCGATTTTCTTGTTCTGAAATAATTTGGCCATACTTCTGTAACATGTTTGTATCTTGTCGTAGGCGCCGGATTGTATTTTCCGTTCTTTTAAGAACA